CATACTGTTATTGCTACACCAAGATTGTATAGCATTTAAATCATTTTGCAATATGCTGTTTATTTTTTCAGTGTTTTTATTATGAAAATGCAATGTTGAATCATCAGCATATAAATCCATGTCGGATTGTTTATCATGAAGTGGTAAATCATTTATATAAATTAAAAATAACAGAGGACCTAAAATAGAACCTTGAGGCACTCCATATTTTACAAACGATTTATCAGATTTAATGTTAGCGTATTGAACTTCTTGTTGTCTCTCAGACAAATATGATTTTATCCAATCTATCGAATGTTCTCCGATATGATAAAATTTTTAACTTTTCTAAAAGTATGGCATGGTTAATAAGGTCAAAAGCCTTACCCTTACCGAAAAATAAGCTCTGCGGCAAACATTTGCCGCAAGTTTGCAGCAAACATTGCCGCAAGCTTGCAGCAAACATTTGCTGCAAACTTGCCGCAACCATTTTACCATGCAAATGAAGGTTGCGGCAAGCTTGCTGCAAACATAATTATGCAAATTAGATTTGCCGCAAGCTTGCGGCAATTGTTTGCTGCAAGCTTGCGGCAATTGTTTGTTGCAAACTTGTGGCAAACTTGCAGGAACTACACATTATACCAATGTCATGTGTGTAGACATATTCAATTTATCTCTTTCAAATTACACAGCAACATTTTTAAAAAATCAATTCATGTCTGTATACAAACAGTCATTGAAAGAGTTCTTGCAAACTTACGAGATTTAAGGAAATACATACATGCATTTGAGTTTTGAAAAAGGGGGCAGGGGTCATTCTCAAATGACATCATATACCTGTATTAAGAAATGAAAAAGGATAAATCTCAAATGTGTATTGAGTATAAAGCTAGGTAACAATTGCATAACAGAATTGAACTTAGTTTTAATAAACATGGTACAGTACATCAGTTACAAAATTCAAACTTGTAATAGCTAAAGGTTTTCATTACACACATACATGTATATATAGTTGCTCACTTTATTATGTATGATGATAACATTAATTATTTTATTAAAACATTCTATGAATTATTTGAACTTACAAAATTACATACTGAATATCTTTATCTATTGAACCAAAATGCCTCCTTGATCTCTTATTTGTGAAATGCATTTTCCAAACACAACCAACATGACCTAGCCACAATTTCAAATTGATAACTTCCAGGAAGTGCCAACTAGGCATGCCCAGTCAATATTGTGTAATTCTTGCAATGTTCTGGCAAACATATAGAATGGTCAAAGTTTTCTGCAATCTTGCGGCAAACATATAGAATGGTCAAAGTTTTCTGCAATCTTGCGGCAAACATTCTTTATAATTTTAAACTTTCTGGCAATCTTACGGCAAACATTGATGTTTCTGCAAACTTGCCGCAAGCTTGCAGCAAAAAGCTGCAATGTTTGCCGGAAGTTTGCAGCTAGCGGCAAACATCTGCAAACACTATTTTCTGTGTTCCTGCAAACTTTTTGTTTGCCGCAAGCTTGCTGCAAGTCTGCTGCAAGTTTGCGGCAAACAATTCAGTTCCATAAGGGTACTGAAATCTAAAAACACAGTACCAACTATTTCTCCATTGTCTAAATATTTTAACCAGTCATCAATTAGTTTAGTCAGCGCTGTTTGACATGAATGACCTTGCATGAAACCTGACTGAGTGATATGTAACAATTTTTTATTATTTAAGAATGCATATAACTGTGTACATACATGTCTCTCAAAAACTTTAGATATGGTATTTAAAATAGAAATTGGACGATATATAGTTGGAGGGAATATCTGTTGGTCCTCCTTTATGTATAGCAGTTACTCTTGCAAGTTTTAATTTTTGCGGAAAACGATTCGACGTTATACTTTTGTTTATTAGAAAAGTTAGTGATGGCGATATTATCTCTGCACTTAGCTTTAAAAGTTTTGGACCAATTCCATCTAAACCTGCGGATTTATTAATATTAAGGTGTTTTAGTTGTGAACACACCTCTCCAACAGAAATGAGTTTTAATTTAAAAATTTCAGTTTCCTTTAATTTTGTACTAGTAAAAGTTTGTAGCTTAGAAAAATCCATATCTGAAGTATTATTTCCAATAAGTTTTTCAGCTACGGAAGAAAAATGAACATTTAGTGTATTAACAATATCTTTGGGGTTATAAACAGTTTGATTTTCATACTGCATTTTAGGTGGAAGAATATTATCCATTTTTGGATTTAACTCTTTAATGTGATTCCAAAGTTCTTTACTATTTTTGGAACTAGATATAGCGTTTTGATAATATTTCTTTTTTGCATTAAATATTAACGACGTTGTTTTATTACGCCACTTTTTAAAGTTTACCCAATCTTTTTTTGAATGATACATATTTCTGTATTGAATGGAATTTTTAATTTCTTCATTGAACCATTCGGCTTGTTTAAATGTTTTTACTCTTTTAGTTTTCATTGGTGCGTGCTTGTTAATAACTTGATAAAAAAGTTCATACCATTTGTCGACAGAAATATCAATATCTTCTTCCATTTCAACAATATGAAAAGGGGTTTGATGTAAGTCTGCACAAAAGGCATCCTCATTAAAGTTTTTGAAACACCTATACTTTATTTCGATATGATTTTCTTTCTTTACCTTTGTATTGATTTTTCTATTTAAGCATACAGGGTAGTGGTCACTTAAAGCATATGAAGGAACATGACAATGAGCAATATTTTCAGGATTAGTAGCCGGTGTAAATATGATCAATAAGAGTTTCTGATTTGTCACAAATACGTGTTGCAGTGCAAATTTGTTGTTGAAGATTAAAATGGTTTATGAAATTCATCCATTTTTTATTTTCAATTCTTATCAAGTCAATATTAAAGTCCCCCATTAAAATGATCTCTTTGTTTTCTGAAAGAGCTGCGTTAAATTCCTCCTCAAAAAGATCTATCCAGTACTAAAGGGAATATGGTGGTCTATAAACAGTACAAATGAAGAAAGGTTTAGATTTTGGAAATTCTACCTCTAACCATAAAGTTTCTAATGTTTTTATTGATAAATCAGATCTATTTTTAACTGCAATAGAATCTTTGACATAAACCAATAGACCACCACCATCCTTACTCTGGCGATCTTTTCTGAAAATTTTGTATCCTGGCACTTTACATTGTTCATTGTTAATATCTGGTTTTAAGAATGTTTCAACTAATCCAAATAAATCTAAATATTTGTTGTTTATAGTAATTATATTCTTTAACTCGTCAAATTTAGATAAAATATGTCTAACATTAAGGCATACAGCATTGAAACCTTTACATTTTAGATTAAGACAGGTTTTTTATAATGTTTGTTTCTATCACTTTTAGGTTTTGAGCTAAAGCTATTAGTGCAAATACCGTTTTCTGATGTATGACAATTTTCCCTGGAATTTTTGTTTTTAAAAATCTCAGCTTCAGACATAGAGTTTTGAGTACATATACATTTTGATGTATTGCAATTTGGACATAAATAGAGAAGTATATCAAAATTGTTATGAAGAAGTAATTAATGATTTACTATGATTTGAGAATTTGTCTACAAATTGAAATACATCATTTTTATCCTAAAATGTGTGACAGTCTTTATAATGATGACCATAAAAGCCACAATTAAAGCAGATACCATTGAATGTATTTACAATGCTTTCCCGTCTTTTACCATGCTGTTCATTATCTTCATTATTGGACTGAGAACTATTTGTGCGGATGAAGATGTTTACAACCCTGTTAATGTTTCTAAGTAGCTGAATTGTACCCTGATTAGTAAGGTGTATGCCATCACGGTGATAGCAGAGACATATAATACAATATATATGTCTCTGGTGATAGTAAGTAGACACAAGATCGCCGCCTCTGGAAACAAAGCATCCGTTTGTTTGATGATTTTAAAGTTAAGTTCTGTTGAAATCCCATGTAAGATAGTATTATAAACATCTGTATTTACGTTCCGTCTTGGACAAATTTCTGATATGACAATATAATCAATATATGGCATGCCGTTGTGGAATTTTTTTCCTATTTTTGATATTACATTTTATAACAAATAATTTTTCAGAATTCATTAGATCGGGTGCAGTAAAAAATTGAAAACAACACGTTTAATAATTTCATGCGTCCGAAGCGCTTTTCTGGATTTACCTTCACCAGGAATGCTCAATGCCAAACATTTGAAATCCGAGGGATGTATAAGTACCGAAACAGTTAAAGAGCTATATTACAAAAATACCTAAAACAAATAGCCAAATTCATCTAAGGTCAACTTTGCCTGAGGGAGTTGAAATCTTAGTTTCTTTATAATTTCAAAATTTATAAACGGACAATTTTAGAAAAGTTTGTTATAAATCATGTCAGTACCGATCGAAGTACTGACTACTGAACTGATGATACCCTCGGGGACTGATAGTCTACCAGCAGAGGTATCGACCCAGTGATGTAAAAAATTGAAAACAACACAAAAATAAAATAGGTACGTAAGTTATTATATGTTAGTTAAAACTTGATCATGTTGATGATTATATCTTAATTTGGTCTCGGAGGCGGATTCAGGGTAGGGGGCGTCCCCCCCTTTATGGAGCTACATTTATGGTTAATCCAGACATTATACCAATCCAAATTTTGTCTTGTTTGGCGGATCCGAAACTGGGTCTAAACAAATTCTAAGAAATTCTAGAGAAAATAAGTTTCGACTAGACTCTCACAATGTGTGATCATGTGATTATTGGACAACTTTGACCTTTGACGTCATTCATGACACGGAAGTATTCTCTATGAATGAATTATTGCACGGTTAATAGGTTTTCCAATACGTATGCAATATAGTCCCACTATAGTTTTCAATGATAATAGTGTTTTCAAATTCAACAGTAATAGTTTATGAAAATTTCTATCTTATTTTGTTATTTTCGAGAGGAATAAATATTTTCTAGATATTGATATTGATGGTTGATACTAATATTTTTGGTACGATAAGCGACGGATTGTATTCTTACGCTGGGATCCGCCATCTTGAACAGTAAAAGACACTACGGTCAGCCAGAGAAGTACCGGTGAACCGGTCATTATTCCTTTTTATTACATTTCGTGAAGCAAAAGTTTAACCAGGACTGGTTGGATATTAAAATGACACAACAGCTGCCCATCAGATTCCAGGAGCATTTGCAGGTGCGTAAATAAACGCTAGCCGTACCGGTAACATGCTGAACTCACGCCCCTCGTCAAGACAATAATTTGCTATTTTGACAGCTGGTTTTATGTTATTGTTTACATTTATCATTGCGAAAGACACATCTATTAAGATAGTTTTTTTGTGTATCAAAAAATAATTTATGCGCCGCTTCTATTTAGAAATAGAGTCTTTTTAGCAGTTGATGATTTGGCATGAAAAACCGGAAATAAACATGTTTTTTTGGACCGTCGTAAATCACCTTTTTATGCAAAGATAACTCTGTTCATGAATTTAAAAAAAAATCTCATTTACAATAGATACAGGAAGTTTCTTGCTTTAATAGTTCTACTGTAAAATTAGCGTTGCTCGGAACGCCCCCAACCAGAGCTTTACCATGATTTCTAAATGTTAGTATGAGTCATTCCAATCATTTACCAAATAACAAATGTGCAACAAGCCAGGCCAATCTTAAAGTTTAAGACTAGAGAACTGTTGACAGTTTTTTACAAGTAATCAACAAGTGGAGAGGGGATCATTATGTTCTTAATAATCTCAAAAACTTCATTGTTTTGATTGCAACATACATGACATAATTCAGTGTACACTGTGCGACACCGAACAGGTCTTGTTACATGTACACTGTATGTTGCAGTCTAGCATAACCACACAAGTTAACTACAGTTCAAAATCATTGGCATAGGCAAACATACAATCAGTTAACTACAGCTTTTAAGTTTTATAAGAATTCTTCGACTGCACTACTTAGGTCTACTCATCCCGTAATTATCATCCTAATTCAATTAGTTTTCTCAATTAAATTGTTTAATATTATTCATGTCAGGCCTTTTATAGCCGACCATATGTATGGGTTTTTCTCATTGTTGAAGTTTGTACGGATGCCTATACTTGCTTACATCCACTTCATTTGAATTTTGGTGAATAGTTGTCTCATTGGCAATCATACCACATCTCCTTATTATACGAACGCAAAAAAATTTTGCGGTCGTATATTGGTAAGACGTTGTCGACGTCGTCCGAAGACACTGGTTTTCGCTCTCTAACTTTAGTTTAAGTGAATGGATCTCTATGAAATTTAACCACAAGGTTCAATACCACAAAAGGAAGGTGGGGATTGATATCGGGGGTTATGGTACTAACAGTTAAGGAATTAGGGTAAAAAAGGGGCCAAAAATAAGCATTTTTGTAACCTCCAGACATAGCTTGTGTGTTAGTGTATGGATCTCTCTGACATTGTACCACAAGGTTCCATATTACAAAGGGAATGCTGGGATTGATTTTGGGGGTAATTGCCTCCAAATTTTAGGAATTAGGGGCCAAAAAGGGGCAAAAAACAAGCATTTTTCTAGTTTCATGACAATAACTAGTGTGTAAGTGTATGGATCTCTCTGACATTGTACCACAAGGTTCCATATCACAAAGGGAAAGCTGGGATTGATTTTGGGGGTAATTGCCTCCAAATTTTAGGAATTAGGGGCCAAAAAGGGGCAAAAAACAAGCAGCTTTCTAGTTTCATGACGATAACTTGTGTGGAAGTGTATGGATGTTTATGAAATTGTATTACAAGGTTCCATATCACAAAAGGAAAGCTGGAATTGAGTTTGGGGGTAATTGTCCAAAACGTTTAGGGATAAGGGGCCAAAAATAAGCATTTTTCTAGTTTCAAGACAATAACTTTTTTGATTTTGGGGGTAATTGCCTCAAAATTTTAGGAATCAGGGGCAAAAAAACAAGCATTTTTCTAGTTTCAGGACAATAACTTGTGTGTAAGTGTATGGATCTTTATGAAATTGTACTACAATGTTCCATATCTCAAAGGGAAAGCTGGGTTTGAGTTTGGGGGTAATTGCCCTAAACGTTTAGGAATTTGGGGCCAAAAAGGGGCAAAAAAACAAGCATTTTTCTAGTTTCCAGACAATAACTTGTGTTCAGGTGTATGGATCTCTCTGAAATTGTACTACATAGTACCATACCACAAAGGGAAGGCTGGGATTGAGTTTGGGGAAGATGAATCATAAGGGGGTTCAAAAAATTTGGGGGGGGGATTTTTCCTTTTTTTTTCTTTAAAATTTTCCATTTTAAATTGGTTATTTCTGATTTATATATAAAAGCAAATAATAATGATATGGTTTGAATAGGTAAATTAAAAATTTTTAAGTTCTAAGACCACATTCATTCTGTGTCAGAAACCTATGCTGTGTCAAATATTTAATTACAATCCAAATTCAGTGCTGTATCAAGCTTGAATGTTGTCAGCAGTGTTCTCCCCAGGCCGATATGACGCTGCGGTGCCGCAGCGCCTTCATAATATTTTTGTAGATCCCGCAGCGTCTTAATTGACCACTGTCCCTTAATACTTGATCCTGCAGCGTGTTAATTTTCACATTTGCATTATAAATGTTGGTTAAAATTGTCAAGTTACTGATCACCGCTGATGGGTCGGTCAGTGTTACGCAATAACTGATAATTAGTTTTACCTGAGCCACGCTTATCTCAGCCTAATCGGACTATGTTATCAGGTAATAGCGTAAATGATCATCAAGAAGATAGATATTTTTTGAAGAAAATTAAAAATTTTAAAAACTTCAGTGCAGAAATTGAAGAAATAGATCGCAAATACATTGTATTTACGCATCGTGTGCGTGATCACTTGACCATTTATATAACGAATTTTTTCATTGGTCTAGAAGAAGAATCTATTTTAACACGACCAATGAACGTGTTGAATACACATGATAAATTTGAACACATTGCTAAAGATATTTACGATGAAAACTATGAATGAAAGTATTAGTAGTTGAAAAAATTAAAATAAAGTTTGATTAAAGATAACGAGGAGTGATTTACTTTAATAGAAAGTGAAAAAATGTTGCTTGCAAGGTAAATTCGTCTGAAACTCATATTTGTAGAAATAAAATGATCATTGAACATCGATCGTGAATCCGTGCGTCGGGAAATATGTGACAATAAACACGGGTATAGAATCGCCGCAGCTTCTGTATAATGTCACTGGTAAATAATTTCAATGGTTTTAACTTAAACGAATTTGTAAAGTTTCGTTTATATCTATCTGCCAAAGATAGGATTAAACAATAATACGCACGGAAGCGTAATGTGAAACTACGGAAACTGGTCAGCTGTTCATTTATAAAAAAAAAAATAGTTTTAAAAAGTTGTATACCAAATATCTTAACCATATTCGATTTTATTAATTCTGAATGAACATGTTCTCTGTAAATAACAAAGGGGTGAATTATAAGCAAAAGGTAGATGATGGAAGTAGACGTTTTTTTCACACCAATGACTTCTAATGAAAAGGGGAATACACCTCTGTCTACACTGTCAGTATAAGCAGATTTCATTGCTTCTCCTAATCCCAACCAAGCTCAAGTTTTAGCAATTGATAAAAGCAAGCACCATGTTTCTGGTTTCAATGACAAGTGGCTGCATGACTGAGTTTTCATGGCTTAGAAATGTTAAAGGGGGTATAAGCAAAAGTTATTGTGAGTGGGGGTTTAATTTTTAACCCTGAAGAGGATAAAGACAAAGTTAAGGAACAGACTGTCCAACAAAATAACACTATCTTGAAACAATATCCCTAGAAGGAGCAGAGAGTAGAGATGAATATTTATATTTTGACTTCTTTAATTGACTGAATATAAATAACTTTTGTGTTTAAAATCAATTTATTTCATATATATATCCTTGTAATTCATTAATACTCTGCATTAAACAACACATAACACAAAGCATTATAATTCATATTGCATGTCATAATTTATGACTTATTGCTTCAGATCACAAACGTTCACTCTAAAAAAAAGAGTTACGCGCTCTTGAATTTTGCGCCTTAAAAAAATCCTGGGGAGAACACTGTTGTGTCCATACTTGCCCCAACTGTTCAGGGTTCGACCTCTGCGGTCATATCAAGCTGCGCCCCAGCGGAGCATTTTATTCAGACATGTATCAAATATTGTTGTGCCTTCATATGAAGTTGATTCATACATATGAAATTTCAAAATCTTTAAATTAAATTTTCTTTCCTCACTATTAATCTGTCACTAAAAGTCTTTCTTTCTCAAGCACAGCAGAACATCAAAGTTTGTTTACATTGAAACCGGAAGAAAACACGCATGTTTTAGTCTTTCAGATTTGTTTACACAACAATGATATAATTAGAGTATATCATTGACATTTAAATTGTTTTAAAATCAAAGGAAATTGAATTCCAAACCATAATTAAATTAACCTGTACTAGTGATTATTGCAGGGATTTCCCTAGAATTGAATTTTCAAGCTAAAAGGGAATAAGGACAGGGTTTCCCCTGGGTCAATTTTCTTTTTCACCACCTCTTTCACCAAAACAATATTTTTTCGCCAATTTCAGGTTTTTTTTTATCACCAACTAAAATAAACATATTTTTCATTTAAAACTTTCCTTCTTGCTAACAATAAAAATTCAGTTTGAAGCATTGCTGTCCACTTCATTTTTATTTTTATACGACTGCAAAAATTTCAGTATCAAGCTTGAATATTATATCCAAATTTGCCCCAACTGTTCAGGGTTCGACCTCTGGGGTTGTATCAGGCTGCGCTCAGCGAAGCATTTTATTTAAATCTACATTATAATAAATAAACACTCATCAATAAACATTTAACTTTTTTAAAGATACTTTAAAAATCATCATATTTGACTTATGGGAACACAGTTCAAGGTGAAATCCCAATACGGTCAAACCTTGATGAACTGAAGTAACTTCTTGGTCCTGGTAAAATTCCTGTTTGGTCAATGCATATTTACCTCTGATGAGTCGAACTTAGTTGATTCGAATACTCGGTTAAGTCCAGTAAGCTTTATAGTTCCGTATTTCATAGAACACACTTGATCTCAGATATGTCGAATACTTTTGTTCGATGTCTTTGACTTCGACATAACGAGGTTTCGACTGTATTGTCTGATCAGGGGAAAAACCCTAGAAACCAGAAAAAAATAATCAAGATGTACAAAACTGAACTGTTTATAAGTCTTTCATCACAATTTTTACTTTTTTCGCAAAATGAGAAAATGGCGACCGCCAGGGGAAACCCTGAATGGGGGTAAATGTGGTTTTATGGGTTTTGGAGAGGCTAAAGAAGCAATTTCCTGGGTGCATTTTTTATTATCTCAATAATTTACTTTTGGTACCATTGTTAATTGGTGGTCTGTACATGTTGTCTCCATATGCCTAGTTATGGTGGAAGTTCTTAAGTTATTTGTTACACTTGTGAACATATTTCAAGGTTACGATGTTTGTACCACTGGCAATACATAAATTTAGTTTTACCATCATACAATAGCCATGGATATAACTGTAACATAGGCGGATCCAGGGGGGGGGGGGGGGGCCCTTTTGTGGGAAAAATTTGGTTGATTATATAGGGAATCACTGAAGCATGACTGGAGCAGCCCCCCTTATGAAAAGTTCTTGATCCGCCACTGTGTAACCATCTGGTTTGGAAGTTTCTAGTCATTTCTAGACATAGCTGTGTCAATACCAGGTCTTTCAGACTCAATTTCCAGTATCCTTGGAAATTGCATGTGATCCAAAAGACTGTGTTTGTTTGTCCTTTTCAAGTTAACTTAATTTTTTGGGTGGCATGATCTGAGTGTTAGAGATTTAAACGCTATGATGGTCAAATGATATTCAAATCAAATGTTGAATTGATTCTGTCAAAATAGTGTTCAGGATTCTCGTATTTCATCCTAATGGTAAAGAAAATCAAAAGATCGATATTCCAAGTGACAAAATATACTGGAATGGCCAACGGAGACACATTTCGCTTTCCTACCTGACAGGTAACCCAAACGTGATGACAAAGACCTAGTTTGTTTTGCTGGGACAGGGTGTTCATTGTTACATAAGTATGCGACAACTAATAATTTGATATGTCATTTCAACTCCTTTGGAAATCAGAAAGGAATATTTTGATAAAAATAAAGGGATCTCTGTTGTTGGCACATGCTTGCAGACGGCATATAACTTTGTACATGTATTGCCTGTATTTGGTCTCTGATATTGATTTTATTATCATTACAGTAGTTATGAAAATTTAGACATGGGGAAAATAGTGGCTACAGAAAAGAAATATAGACTGCAGCTGTATCCAGATCAAATTAAAAGTCCCATTTTAAGACATTGGCAAAGCACAGCTCAATCCCTGTCTACTCTAGACGTGGGTTTTCTATTGCAAATACCTTGTCCGTCTGTTTGTCCAACAAATATTTTCTTCACACTTTTCCCAGGAACTATTACTTACATGTTGCATGACAACACATGCATTCTTGTTTTTTTTTTATCCAAATTACTTTTTAAGTTTCCCTTAATAAATCATGAACTTTGCCATTACTTTATCATGGGTTACCATTTTATATCTGCAACTCCCCCAAAACCCCTTATTAAGTTTGAATTTTTAAAATCTTGATCAGCATCTTGACCATTTGCAGACTTCATGAAAAAAACAACAGACCTGTTGGTGTTGACAACTCCTCGTAGCTAATGCCCCATTAAAGGAAAGAAAAAGTGTTAATTAGCTGTCCTTTCAACATTTATATTATAACAGTTTCATAATCTTCAGAGATGAGGCCTGGGACTGTTGTTAATAAAGATTGACATTTTTTAGAGATTCATGCATTAATCTATTAATTATTATTCCAAACCCTTTTGTGTTCAAAAAACTATTTACCTATTCCTATGAAGTTGATATACATGTGATATATGTAGTTGCAATGACAATACTAGGACAAATTATTGTCTTTTGACACTTTAAGTATTTTAAATATTATGGTTTTGACTACAAAATGTGGAATAGTTCAATACATGATTTGTAATGTTCATTAAGTCAATATTTTCAGTATTGACAGCGAACAACTGTAGAACATACATGTGTATGTGTTTCGACCTTTATGAGGTGGAAATAAGTTCTTTCCAATGATGGTCTTTAATTTAGTTCTCAGAAGAGAAGAGGGCAGTAAAAATACCTTTTAAGGTTTTATATTCAGGGCATGAACATTTTTATGTCATATACGATATTCTTTGAATGATTTTAATTGTTATGCATAACTTATAAATATTTCACCACATTCAATTGATTGTGTCTTTTAAAATACTGATTGATTTGACAAGACATGAACAGATTTTTTCCAGCTCACTTTAGAAAGCATATTTTACTCAATTTATATTGGAAACAAAATACACTTGTACACAGATAATACCATCCTTAAATCAATATATAGAATATTTTATGGTAGCAAACTGGAGATCAATAAAACCAATAGTTCTGTATCATGCCACTCTTAAATAATCAGTTGATGACCAGTTCTGTACAATTACTTTAATTTTATTGTTGGTTTTACTATTTGTTTGGACATAATCTGAACAATCCAATAAATAACTGATAGATAATTCATACTTTTTATTCTAGGACATTAGAAATGAAAATAGAAAAAATCTTGGATTTTTTATTTGTTATAGGAGAGGATCAGTAAAAAAATAGTATAAATTGTTTTCACACAGAATTCCTATTCCTTTATTTGATACAAAAAGTACCACATCTCATCACATGGTTTCACTGAAACAAATATCTTGAAATCATTATTGTTTAAAAAAAAGCTGTGTTAAGTCAAGTGTGAAGCTTTGTAAATCAATGAATCATTTATGTTGCATTAAAGTTTTATTTTCAGTGTTTGTTCTTGGGAATTTTTAATATCATTTCATATTTATAAAAGACAATTTCAACTGATTGATTAGAATCTGAATATATTGATCTACAAAAACCAATATACATGTAGCATCTGACATTGAAATGATACAGATGCAGATGTAGACCATAGTCATATAAATAAAATTTGGGCCAATAGCAATTTGTCATGTTGGGCCTGTTAGTGTTATAGCTGACTATACGATATTGGTTTTACTTGTTGTTGAAGGCTGTACAGTGACCTATATCATTGTATATATAGTTGCTTAAAACTACTTCATTTGGACCCTTTTAGATAGTTGTCTCATTGGTAATTATACCACATCTCTTTATTTTATACTGTAGACTACTAGTTAAAAATGTACTGTAAATAGAAATTAAATTCTGTTGAAAAGATTACAAAAAAACTGTCCATGTATCATGTCACTTTACTTTTCTTAGCAATGTTCATAGTTAGTTAATATGATAAATAGAGCTAATCAGCCAGTTTGTTTGAGGAGTATGGATTCTGTACTTTATCTCTCTCATTTGTTATCTCAATACCTTTGCATTTCATGAATAATGATCAGAGTTGAAGGTTGTTGTAATTAATTTTCAGATAAAAAAGGGTTTTACTTTTTGAAACATCTATCACTGAAACTACTTATCATGAAATTGATTGCATACACTACTGATAAACTGAACTATATTGACATTTGTGGTTAACTTGTTGGTGGATTTTAGGGTACAATGTACACTGTACATATGTAGATGTACTAGACTATTAGGTCAAATAAGTAAAACGTGTAGTTGTGGATAACTTACTTCTGAAACAAGGACAGCTGCACCTTTTGTACTTGTTTAAATAGACTTATAGAATAAAGAATAGAATGGAATAATTTTCATCTTTTCTCATGAATAAAGTAATTACAATAATTTCTGATCTTTTACAACTCTTTATAAATTATAGTCACTGTAATTGTAGAATTCTTCTGTTTTGTAGCTCCAAAATGTTGGAATCAATGCTGCAAATATTGGGTTCAGTACCCTTACCATGGAGTCTGACAAATTTATTTGTATTCGAGAGAAAGTGGGAGAAACTGCCCAAGTTGTCATCATTGATATGAATGATTCTTCTAATCCTATAAGAAGACCCATCTCAGCAGACTCTGCCATCATGAACCCTGCTAGCAAAGTTATTGCACTCAAAGGTAAATAAAGGGTGTGAATAAGTTTAACATGATTGTTTTCTTGATTGCAACAATATGTATTTAATAGAAATAGGGATTCAAAACTTGTTAAAAGGTTTTTAGAACAGATTTGAAATGTCATATTACATCTGTGTAAGTTGTCAAAAGTTGGAATTGTAAAAAAATATTTGTAAAATATGGAAAATTAACCTGTTTTCTCTGATACTGGTTCAGATTTTAACTCTGTATCTGATATATCGGCCATTTTTGGGGGAAATGAAAATCACAACACACAAAATAGTAAATTTAAACAGAAAAAGTTAGTAGATACAATATTTGAGGTTTAATCCAGATGACTGGCTACAAAACTGATATTGAAATTTTTTTTAATTTTTGGCACCTGAATATGGGATCAAACATTGTTGTTACCAGACATTTGAAACCAGTGAATGGCCAATATTTGTCTGACCCACAGCAAATTTGTCCAATTTTGTTAACAGTTTGGCTTTTTTTTTGTGAAGTGTGTCTGATATGTCTGATAATTTGTGATTTGTCATTTTATAGCTGGAAAGACCTTACAGATTTTTAACATCGAAATGAAGAGTAAAATGAAGTCCCACACCATGACAGAGGAAGTTGTTTTCTGGAAATGGATTACTGTAAATACAGTTGCCTTGGTAACAGATGTAGCTTGTTATCATTGGGGCATGGAAGGTAATTTTCTTTTAAAATGTTATAGGTTGAACACAAAGAGTTATTTGTCTATAGATTTAATTTTTAAAGGAGAATTCTGGGATTGAGGAAAGATCTTCTAGTTTGTTGATAAATTCATGGGAGTAATATATTAACACAATCTATCAATGTTTCTACTGCGGTGCAGTTGCTTTTTAATGAAATGTTAATTATGCCCCCGCAGTAGCGGTGGGGGCATTAAGTTTTACCCTTGTCCGTCTGTACGTACGTCCATCCGTACGTCCCATAATTGGTTCTCTAACTTGAGTTTGCCTCAACCAAATGTTATGAAACTTATACACAATGCTTATTACCACAAAACACAGATCAAGTTTGAATTTTGGTGGCGTCACTTTAACCGTTCTAGAGTTATGCCCCTTTATAGATGGAAAAATTGCAAAATTTTTAGTTTCCGTTCTCTAACTTAAGTTTGCCTCAACCAAATGTTTTGAAACTTATACACAATGCTTATTACCACAAAACACAGATCAAGTTTGAATTTTGGTGGCGTCACTTTAACCGTTCTAGAGTTATGCCCCTTTATAAATGGAAAAATTGCAAAATTTTTAATTTCTTCTAAATATCAAATATTTTTAAAATTGGAGTTATCTTCCTTTGTCCATGATTATAGTTGAATCAACTACAATCAATGCTTTATACAATGCAATGTTTAATTTTGACTTCCACTGATAAAATACAGATCAAGTTGAATTTGGGTAGTGTCACTTTAACCATTATTGAGTTATGCCCCTTTATAAATCGAAAGATTGCAAAATTTTTAGTTTCCATTCTGTAACTTAAGTTTGCCCCAACCAAACATTATGAAACCTATACACAATATTCATTACCACAAAACTAAGATCAAGTACAAATTTTTTGTTTCCATTTTCTAACTTTAGTTTGCCTCAACCAAATGTTATGAAACTTATACACAATGCTTATTACTACATAATAAAGATTAAATACGAAATTTGGTGGCGACACTTTTACCATTCATGAGTTGTGTCCCTTTATAAACATAAAAATTGCTGAATTTTTCGTTTGCGTTCTCTATCTTTAGTTTGTCTCAACCAAATGTTATAAAACTTATACACAACGGTTCTAGAGTTATACATGTTTACAGATAGAAAAATTGCTGAATATATATTGGTATGACGTTGGCGTCGTCGTCTGGCGTCGTCCGAAGACACATTGGTTTTCGCACTCTAACTTTAGTTTAAGTGAATGGATCTCTATGAAATTTTACCATAAGGTTCAATACCACAAAAGGAAGGTTAGGATTGAATTTGGGGGTAAGGGTACCAACAGTTAAGGAATTAGAGGCCAAAAATAAGCATTTTTGTAACTTCCAGACATAACTTGTGTGTTAGTGTATGGATCTCTCTGACATTGTACCTCAAGGTTCCATATCACAAAGGGAATGCTGAGATTGATTTTGGGGGTAATTGCCCAAAACGTTTAGGAATAAGGGGCCAAAAAGGGGCCAAAAATAAGCATGTTTCAAGTTTCCAGACAATAACTTGTGTTCAAGTGTATGGATCTCTCTGAAATTGTACCACAAGGTTCCATATCACACAGGGAATGCTGGGATTGATTTTGGGGGTAATTGCCTTAAAATTTTAGGAATTAGGGGCCAAAAAAGGGGCAAAAAACAAGCATTTTTCTAGTTTCATGATAATAACTTGTGTGTAAGTGTTTGGATCTTTCTGAAATTGTACTACAAGGTTCCATATCACAAAGGGAAAGCTGGAATTGAGTTTGGGGGTAATTGCCCAAAACATTTAGGAATTGGGGGGCCAAAAAGGGGCCAAAAAACACATTTTTCTAGTTTCCAGACAATAACTTGTGTTCAAGTGTATGGATCTCTCTGAAATTGTACTGCAAGGTACCATACCACAAAGGGAAGGCTGGGATTGAGTTTGGGAGTGATGAATCATGAGGGGGTTAAAAAAAATTTGGGGGGGGGGGTTTCCTTTTTTTTCTTTTTTTCCTTTTTTTTTTCTTTTAAAATTTTCCATTTTAAGTTGGTTATTTCTGATTTATATTTAAAAGCAAATAATAATGATATGGTAGGAGATACACACCAAACAGGATGTGTAAATTATTATATAATAAGTATTGTGCAATAGCAAGAAATTTTCAATTGCACAGTATTGCACAATAGCAAGAAATCTTCATTTGCACAGTATTGCGCAATAGCAAGAAATCTTCAATTGCACAGTATTGCGCAATAGCAAGAAATATCCAATAGCCAATATTGCGCAATAGCAAGAAATTGTCAATTGTGCAGTATTGCGCAATAGCAAGAAATATTCGATTGCACAGTATTGTGCAAAAGAAGATACTTCGTATAAATTGCTTATTTCTTGACCAATTTCAATGGGGTTTTATTCTTGAATTCTTGGGGTTCTTTAATATGCTGAATCTAACCGTGGATTTGGATTTTGGGCCCCGTTTTTAGATTGGTCCACATTGAGGTCCAAAGGGTCCAAAATTAAACTTTGTTTGATTTCATCAAAAATTGAATTATTGGGGTTCTTTGATATGCCGAATCTAACCGTGTATTTAGATTCTTAATTTTTGGTTCCGTTTTCAAATTGGTCTACATTAAGGTCCAAAGGGTCCAAAATTAAACTAAATTTGATTTTAACAAAAATTGAATTCTTAGGGTTCTTTGATATGCTGAATCTAAACATGTATTTAGAGTTTTGATTATGGGCCCAGTTTTCAAGTTGGTCCAAATCGGGGTCCAAAATTAAACTTTGTTTGATTTCAACAAAAATTGAATATATGGGGTTCTTTGATATGCTGAATCTAACCATGTATTTAGATTTTTGATTTTTGGGCCCGGTTATCAACTTTGTCCACATTGAGGTCAAAAGGGTCCAAAATTAAACTTTGTTTGATTTCATCAAAAATTGAATTCTTGGGGTTCTTTGATATGCTGAATCTAACCATGTATTTAGATTTTGGATATTTGACCATAATAGGTGAATGTCCAATTTAAAATTTTAAAGTTCTTAGACCACATTCATTCTGTGTCAGAAACCTATGCTTTGTCAAATATTTAATCACAATCCAAATTCAGAGCTGTATCAAGCTTGAATGTTGTGTCCATACTTGCCCCAACTGTTCAGGGTTTCGACCTCTGCGGTCGTATCAAGCTGCGCCCTGCGGAGCATTTTATTAGTTTCTGTTCTCTACTTAAGTTAGCCTCAACCAAATGTTATGAGACTTACACACAATGCTTATTACCACAAAATTTTTGGGTAGCGTCACTTTTACCGTTCTTCAGATATGTCCCTTTATTAATATATGATATGCAAGCGGGGGCATCATCTGTGTCCACATGTGGACACTATCCACATTTATTAACTTTAAATCTTGCACGTTCTTAACATATCGGTGTATGGTGAAGTTTTACATCATTTGGTTTCCAGTGGAGTGTTGTCTCATTGGCAATCATAACACATCTTCTTTATTTATGTGAAATTTTCACTCTCACTTATTTACATGATTATGGAAACAAACCAAGAAACCAAAAGATGTCATAGATACTAAGGAAACCACAACACCTCGTGTTGATCCTCTATATTTGCCATACATAAGGTACTTGCTTGATGTACATTTTAGGGTGATTATCGAGTTTCCTTGGTGTGTTATTATGTGTCTATCTTATACTATTAACACAGATTATATAAGAGATATATAGAATAACCATACATTGTCTCGAAATATAAATTTTATTTGTACAAATCTAAGAAACAGGTAGAAAGCGAGGCTGTGCCGAGCATTTCTATCCTGTTTTGAGTCGAGTATAACTGTTCCAAATGAAATATTTAGGATAAAAACCATCATTTTTATACGCCCGTTTACGGGACGTATTATGGTATACCTCTGTCCGTCCGTCGTCAACATGTTGGACATTAACTCAAAAATGCTTTAATTAATTTGCATAAAACTTTGGTGAATTGTTTAAATCTATTGACGTGAGCTCCCTTTCCTTTTTTATAATATTTAGATTTTACGTTTCTGAGTTATGGGGTTTTATTCATTAAAAAAGGGGGATTTTCCAGTTTTCGGACAATAAGTCAAGAATGCTTTCACCAACTTGCAAGAAATTGTGGTGAATTGTTTATATCGATTGACATGAGATCCCTTTCAATTTTTATAAATTTTAGATTTTATGTTTCCGAGTTACAGGGTTTTCTTCATAAAAAAAGGGGGGATTTTCCAGTTTTCGGACAAAAACTCAAAAATGCTTTCAGCAATTCTTATGAAACTTTGGTGAATTGTTTGTATGTATTGATGTAAGCTCCCTTTAGAATTTTATAAATTTTACATTTTACATTTCTGAGTTATGGGGTTTTATTCATTAAAAAAAGGGGTGATTTTCCAGTTTTCGGACAATAACTCAAAAATGCTGTCACCAATTCTCATGAAACTTTGGTGAATTGTTTATATCTATTGATGTAAGCTCCCTTTTTATTTTCATAAATTTCTAATATGACATTGAGAATTATTTGAACTTTATTTGTTTATAGTCTGACAACAGATTTACTAAGTATTGCACAACAGCAAGAAATCTTTAATTGAATATAAATTCAATTCATATAACCAATTTCAAGTTCTTTGACTACATTTATTCAGAAACCTATAATATGTCAAATATTTAATTATAATCCAAATTCAGACCTGAATCAAGCTTGAATATTGTGTCCATTTTTGCCCCAACTGTTCAGGGTTGGACCTCTGCGGGCGTATCTAGCTGCGCTCAGCGAAGCAGTTTATTTAATTTGTAGCGGACGACGTAAAATTTCCGCGAACCTGTATTGCTTATTGACGTCATAAATAAAACTCTACGGAAACACATTGTCTATGTCATAAAAAAGGCGATATATGGTCAGTGACTGTATATCACAAATGAATATACGGTCAATGCAATTTGACTGGGCAAATAGCACAATTGCAGTATATATGTTATTATTGTGCAAATGTAGACTTGAGCAACGACATAAAACAAAATTTAAAACAGTTATGAAGTGTACAACAAATGTTTTAACATGTCAGCTAGGTCAACTATGAAAAAAATTATTTTGTTTTAGTTCATATTGTATTTTGTGTATAATGGAAGAAATATATCTGATTATGATAATTTCTGCATTCATTTTTGTAAAGGCCAAGGTAAATATGCATGATGGTACTCTTGTGGTGGGAAATTTTTTTTTCTAATTTTAGCATTGTGCATTGGCTTCCATCCCTTGCAATATGAATTTGATAGTTGGATGAAGGGCAATCTTGACCAAAATGCTTTGATAGATTTACTATATGCTTACTTTTTATTTCACCATACAAATTTGAGAGGATTATTGGATATCTGTGCTTATCCCTACTCAAATTTTGTAATCCATGAGAAAGATAGCATACATGTACAAAGGTTTTTTTGTACATTAATAGCATGTTATAAGACTGTCCTTGTATGTCAAAAATAGGTCAACACAACCTATTTTTACCTATTTTTCATGCTTGAGTAAGTATGATTTCGATATTGAGTTGTGGGAATATCTCAGCTTAAATATTGATGCACCTTAGTAATTAATCAGTATAAGTTGAGCATATGCATATTGATGTCTATATAAGTCCACTGACTAATCAGAATCATCGGAAACTTATTTGCATATATTGCATGCCGGTTCAGTTACAGAAGAACAACAACCTCCTGGCATTAAAGGTCAATTTAAGAAAAATTGGTTTAAGTTTTTTATATCAAATTTCATATCATTATACTGTTACATGAAGGATCATTATACATGGACAGTAGGGAATATGTCATTAACCAGAAAGAATTAGGTTGATTTGACAAACCTTTACATGTACCAATGACACCAATAAACCTTTGGTATTTTTATACGATTGCAAATTTTTGCGGTCGTATATTGGTATGACGTTGGCGTCCTTGTCGTCCAAAGACATTTGGTTTTCGCACTATAACTTTAGTATAAGTTAATAGAAATCTATGAAATTTAAACACAAGGTTTATGACCACAAAAGGAAGGTTGGGATTGATTTTGGGAGTTTTGGTCCCAACAGTTTAGGAATTAGGGGCCAAAAAAGGGCCCAATAAGCATTTTTTTTGGTTTTCACACAATAACTCTAGTATAAATAAATAGAAATCTATGAAATTTTAACACAAGGTTTATGACCACAAAAGGAAGGTTGGGATTGATTTTGGGAGTTTTGGTCCCAACAGTTTAGGAATTAGGGGCTAAAAAAGGGCCCAAATAAGCATTTTTCTTGGTTTTTGCACAATAACTTTAGTATAAGTAAATAGAAATCTATGAAATTTAAACACAAGGTTTATGACCACAAAAGGAAGGTTGGGATTGATTTTGGGAGTTTTGGTCCCAACAGTTTAGGAATTAGGGGCCAAAAGGGTCCATAATTAAACGTTGTTTGATTTCATCAAAAATTGAACTATTGGGGTTCTTTGATGTGCCGAATCTAACCATGTATTTAGATTCTTAATTTTTGGTCCCGTTTTCAAATTGGTCTACATTAAGGTCCAAAGGGTCCAAAATTAAACTTAGTTTGATTTTAACAAAAATTGAATTCTTGGGGTTCTTTGATATGCTGAATCTAAACATGTACTTACTTATTTGTCGAGCCAGAGACTTTTGTCGCAGAAAGTTCGACATAGGGATAGTGATCCGGCGGCGGCGGCGTTAGCTAGTTCTTAAAAGCTTTATATTTTAGAAGGTGGAAGACCTGGATGCTTCATACTTTGTATATGGATGCCTCATGTTACGAAGTTTCCGTCAGTCACATGTCCAATGTCCTTGACCTCATTTTCATGGTTCAGTGACTACTTGAAAAAAAAGTTAAGATTTTTTGTAATGTTAAATTCTCTCTTATTATAAGTAATAGGATAACTATATTTGGTATGTGCGTACCTTGCAAGGTCCTCATGCCTGTCAGACAGTTTTCACTTGACCTCGACCTCATTTCATGGATTAGTGAACAAGGTTAAGTTTTGGTGATCAAGTCCATATCTCAGATACTATAAGCAATAGGTCTAGTATATTCGGTGTATGGAAGGACTGTAAGGTGTACATGTCCAACTGGCAGGTGTCATCTGACCTTGACCTCATTTTCATGGTTCAGTGGTTAAAGTTAAGTTTTTGTGTTTTGGTCTGTTTTTCTTATACTGTATGCAATAGGTCTACTATATTTGGTGTATGGAATGATTGTAAGGTGTACATGTCTAGCTGGCAGGTGTCATCTGACCTTGACCTCATTTTCATGGTTCAGTGGTTATAGTTTAGTTTTTGTGTTTTGGTCCGTTTTTCTTATACTTTATGCAATAGGTCTTCTATATTTGGTGTATGGAATGATTGTAAGGTGTACATGTCCAACTGGCAGGTGTCATCTGACTTTGACCTCATTTTCATGGTTCAGTGGTCAAAGTTAAGTTTTTGAGTTTTGGTCTTTTTTCTTATACTATATGCAATAAGTCAACTATATTTGTTGTATGGAAATATTCTATGATGTACATGTCAGTCTCGCAGGTTTTATTTGACCTTGACCTCATTTTCACGGTTCATTGCTCAGTGTTAAGTTTATGTGTTTCAGTCTGTTTTTCTTAAACTATAAGCAATAGGTCAGCTATATTTGTTGTATGGACATTTGCTCCATTTTACAAATTGTTTATGTACAGCATGTACACTTGAAAAACTTTATTTAAGTTTGTTTAGTGAGGATTAAATAAATCAAATGTGATAAAACATAGAAATAATATCAAGAAATATGCTTTAAATATGGCCTCAAGCTTATCTTAGAAATATTGAAATTTGTTTTCAGGGGATGTGCTAACAGCCCACTATTGTTTAATTTGTTGAAATGCTTTATATTGCCTAATTTTATAGGTACATTCCTATAGGAAGGGATTTATCAGAATAGGTATTTTTGGCATTCATTTTACTTGTCACAAGTGCCCTAAAAATCTGAATGATTGTGCTAAAGTGCCCTTTGGGTCAACTAGCACCCTTCTGCCCTGGGATTCAAGCTGGAACACTGTAGTAAAATCAAAGGTGACTATTTTCAGTCAACAAGTATAACAAATAAAATCTAAATTTAGGAAGTCTTTGTTATTTCTATTGAAGATTTGCAAACAAGATTAAAGACCTTACCATAAATTACCTATAAATGTTAGTATTGTATATCTCCAACAGAGATTGCTTTCCAATATACCATAGAGGAAAACACTATTTCTTGTTAAATGTGATGTATGATTATATAGGTAATAGCATTAGTGTTTCGGCTTTCAAATAATCTATGAAATTTATAATAAAGCTTTAAAATATGACTAAAGAAATATCCAAATGAATTAATGATTTGAATTTGACATTATTAACATTGTATGTAGATTTGGGGAGAAATGATGGAAAAGAGACCTTATTCCAAAGCTTCCCCCCTTAACAACTGTATTGTCCATATGTCAAAGATGTATACTAATCCTTGTAATTTTCTATTTTAGGTGACTCCCAACCACAGAAGATGTTTGATCGCCACACTAACTTAGCTGGGTGTCAGATCATTAACTACAGGACAGATGCTAAACAACAATGGCTGCTGTTGATTGGTATATCAGCACAGGTAAATACTTCTCTAGGCAGGGAAACAGTTCTCTTTGTTTTGCTTGTCTTTGTAATATCTTCCTTTAATAGCCATCAGAAATCAGTAAGTTTTCCTATCAAACTGAAATTATTATTACAGCACATGTTGGTGAAAAAGACTACTGAAAGTATATATTTACAATGTTCTTATCAGAGAGAATGCATTGAAATTGAACAATGTTCAAGTTAAATTTCTAGAAAATAGAGTACATGTACAAGCTCAAAGAAGCATAAATTAGGAGGATACAGGGGTAAAAAAGGATCATCTTTCTTTATTAACAGAAGCAAGCAGGGCAAGAAGCTGTTTCTTTGTTATACAAATTATAATTGATCTTATGTAACATTAAATACATTCATTTCATCGCTATGTAACAACTGTAGTTAAACGTAGCATAAAAATAGAGAATATAATTCACATTGGTGTATATCTATCCTTACTTGTAGCAGGTTTCTCTTAATGCCAGTTTTAGGGATTAATATGTGATATTTATAACATCTTTTTGGATATCTGTACTATACGCAGAGGATTTTTTCTTCAAATTTTCATTTAAAAGACAAAATAATGTAAAAAAGATGTTCTATTTTTGGTTTATGATTGATATCTAACAACAATGTTGATAAGGGAGATAAAAAACTGACATGCTTAAAAATTACTTAATTTTCCAGTACATTTTCTCATATTGGTGATTGGTGATAACTGTTGATCAATTTTTTATTAGATACTAGTTAACACGGTTAAAACAATGTACATGTTTATAATGTTCAAAATATAGTACAGGTATCCTCATCACTTTAAGTGTTCTACCATACATTTATTGACATTTCAGACGGGGCAGGAGGCAGCAGTAAGTATAGGCCACACCCACCTTCTATACACTTCACCTTCTTACCTAGTCTGTCAATAATGTAGTGTCTTTGAAGGGAAGGGTAAAGGAACATAAAAATGAAATATGTTTAGCTTTTGAGAGAAAGTCTGACAGTTACAGCAGAAGTTAAGAATAAAAATGAAAATGAAAAACAGGATTTTAAAAAAAAAATTGTATATTTTTATATATGTTTTAGTAGATGGCTCATTAGTTTTATGTTTTGTGTCTGTCTTTTATATTTTTGACAATGATCCAACTAAAAAAAAATCTGTCTTTTATATTTTTGACAATGATCCAAACAAAAAAAATCCCAATTCTACACATTGAAAATGTTATATATTCCCACAACATCAAATTGTGCTTGTTTCTTTAACATATGTACATATAAATATATATAAAAAAATCCTAACCCTTAAGTAGACTCTCATTTGACCTTCATCTTATGTCATAAAAATTATGCCTTAGCCTAGTTGCATGAATTAGGCAGCATTTTCAATTTTTTTACTAACAAAAGCTGTTTTAGAAATTGTTGGAAATTGGAATAAAGCATGTTATTAATGGCTTTTATGTTTTTATTGTTTACAAAATATGTAGAAAATAGTCCATAGGTTAAATTGTTGGTATATTATAGTAAATATATATATAGAAAAATGAAAATTAACTCTTAAGTTTAACATTAGTTTGAATTATCTTGAAAGGATTTAAAGTTTGTTTTCATATTCTAAATTTATGTCATGAGAAAAAAACAGAGGATAATTGTCCAAAATCAATAAGTTAGAAAGCAGTGATTTAACAGTCAAAGTGAAAGCTTTCTAGCATCACATTTTTTAAATACCTCATGGTTCACTTGTGAAAACACATGCAGACTAAAAATGCTTGCTCAGTCACTGCAAACTATACTAAATAATAAAAGATACAATTTAAAAAATTCAGCAGAGGAAAACATTTTTTAGTTATCTCCATCCAGTCCTTTAAATGCACAAACAACACAGGCAAGTAATTCCCATGTCAGTACCCTTGCCTTAAAGATAGTCAATATATTTGTTTTGATATAAATTTTGAGCTCAATCAGAGTCTCTTTGTTGTAAGAGTATTAAAACATTATTTTTTTTGTTCATCTATACTGATTGATTTCAGTCAGAATATAATGTAAAGTTGAAGGAAGGAAATTATTTTCATGGTTTGATGAACATTCATGCACAGAAAATATCTCAAAAAGCATGTAAACCTTTGCCCATTACATAAAATGAATTGTCAGAACATGATGTAAGGGCATTCACTATATATGCAATGTGTATTTCTCATTTGTTATTTGATGTTGAATTGTAAATTAATATTTTCTGTTTCAATTTACAGCAAAATAGAGTAGTAGGAGCCATGCAGTTGTATTCTACAGAGAGAAAAGTCAGTCAGCCAATAGAAGGACATGCTGCTGCATTTTCCACCTTTAAAGTAGACAATAACCCAAATCCATCAACCCTCTTTATGTTTGCTGTACGTGGAGCTCAGGGAGGCAAGGTAAAGTAGACAATAACCCAAATCCATCAACCCTCTTTATGTTTGCTGTACGTGGAGCTCAAGGAAGCAAGATTAAGTAGACAATAACCCAAATCCATCAACCCTCTTTATGTTTGCTGTACGTGGAGCTCAAGGAGGCAAGGTAAAGTAGACAATAACCCAAATCCATCAACCCTCTTTATGTTTGCTGTACGTGGAGCTCAAGGAGGCAAGGTAAAGTAGACAATAACCCAAATCCATCAACCCTCTTTATGTTTGCTGTACGTGGAGCTCAAGGAGGCAAGGTAAAGTAGACAATAACCCAAATCCATCAACACACTTTATGTTTGCTGTACGTGGAGCTCAAGGAAGCAAAGGTAAAGTAGACAATAACCCAAATCCATCAACCCTCTTTATGTTTGCTGTACATGGAGCTCAAGGAGGCAAGGTAAAGTAGACAATAACCCAAATCCATCAACCCTCTTTATGTTTGCTGTACATGGAGCTCAGGGAGGCAAGGTAAAGTAGACAATAACCCAAATCCATCAACCCTCTTTATGTTTGATGTACATGGAGCTCAGGGAGGCAAGGTAAAGTAGACAATAACCCAAATCCATCAACCCTCTTTATGTTTGCTGTACGTGGAGCTCAAGGAAGCAAGATAAAGTAGACAATAACCCAAATCCATTAACCCTCTTTATGTTGCTGTACGTGGAGCTCAAGGAGGCAAGGTAAAGTAGACAATAACCCAAATCCATCAACCCTCTTTATGTTTGCTGTACGTGGAGCTCAATGAAGCAAAGGTAAAGTAGACAATAACCCAAATCCATCAACCCTCTTTATGTTTGCTGTACGTGGAGCTCAAGGAGGCAAGGTAAAGTAGACAATAACCCAAATCCATTAACCCTCTTTATGTTTGCTGTACGTGGAGCTCAATGAAGCAAAGGTAAAGTAGACAATAACCCAAATCCATCAACCCTCTTTATGTTTGCTGTACATGGAGCTCAAGGAGGCAAGGTAAAGTTTATTCTTAAATTTTCATGTCAGCAGAGACTTGTGTAAGATATTGATGTCAAACGAAATCAAACATAAACTTCTTAATGTCATACGGGTGTGGTTTTCTGATCTTTCAGTAAGATAAATCCCTCAAAAGAAAAGAAGTGAATGGTCTGTCGCATATACACTCAGTGATGGAAGATATGTATAATAGTCAAGGGTTTCTTCTCTCAAATCAAAAGTATTTAAAAAGAAAAGATAGTCAAATTAATATTAAAATATGGCCTAAACAAGATATTATGTAAAATTGAAGTGATATTATATAGTAAGGTATGGTTTACATTGCAGCTACATGTAATCGAAGTTGGACAACCACCACAGGGTAACCAGCCATTTGCTAAGAAAGCAGTAGATGTATTCTTTCCACCAGAAGCACAAAATGACTTTCCTGTAGCAATGCAGGTAAAAATTGTCAACTATAAAAATGTTGTGAAAAGAGAGAAAAGAAATTAAAGAAATACACTGCTTGTTATGATTTTACAATAACTAATCATGGTTTGTATGTTTTGATCAAATATGCAAATCTGATGCCATGACATTTTTGCATTGGACATTAAAGATATGGTAATATTATTCATATGGAGTAGAAGGTCTTTAAGAATTTTGAAAAAAATCTACTTGAAAAGCACAAATTAACAATGTGTTTGTACTCCTCCTTTAAATGTTTCTATCTCTTACTGGGTATGAGTAAGTGTCAGTTTCTTTGATGAAATTAAAAGACAATAAATAGGAAGGATCTTGAGTGTCATATAACTCTATATTTTCTTACAGGTCAGTCCAAAACATGGAGTATCTTTCTTGATTACAAAGTATGGTTACATTCATCTGTATGACATTGAGACTGGAACATGTATTTATATGAACAGAATCAGTGGTGACACAATCTTTGTAACAGCACCACATGAAGCAACATCTGGAATAATTGGTGTCAACAGAAAAGGACAGGTTAGAAAAAATTTAGTCTTAGAAAGTTCACTGATCTAGAAGAGGATGTAATAACATAATTTGAAATGTTTTGATTTAAAAGTTAGTGGAAGGAAAAAATTGAATTCACAGTTGCTTATGCATGATAAAAAAACATATTTGTCAAGTATTTATGATGGAATATTAAGGATGTATTCTTCTGACGTTTCAGTCTCGTTAAAATCTCGTTCTGGAATTATTTCCAAAACGTGAAACAAGTGGAAAATATCAATGAATTTAAAAAATGCTATAAGCAAACTTAACTCTGTGAAAAAATTGTGTATTTACAATGAATAGTTTTTGAGTAATCAATTTTTCAAATTTTATTACCAATCAAGTCAGTCTTTTTAGCCAAAATTTTGAGAAAATGGGTGAGGGGTACAAGAAATGATTTTACCAGAAACATGTACATCCCATATCACTTTTTTCTTTTCAAATTTCTTAGATATGTATTTTTTCAATCATTTATAACAAAGAAGTTGAAATAGTAAGCATTTTGTTCTTTAAACAGAGAAAAATCACAAATTAATAAAATTGACAGCATGGTAAATTTGACACAAAAAAGCATCAAAATATGATAAAATTTTCTTATATTAACACCTACCTATAGTTTTTATACGACCGCAAAAAATTTTGCGGTTGTATATTGGTATGACGTTGGCGTCGTCGGCGTCGTCCGAAGACACATTGGTTTTCGCACTCTAACTTTAGTTTAAGTGAATGGATCTCTATGAAATTTTACCATAAAAGGAAGGTTGGGATTGATTTTGGGGGTTATGGTACCAACAGTTAAGGAATTAGGGGCCAAAAATAAGCATTTTTGTAACTTCCAGACATAACTTGTGTGTTATTGTATGGATCTCTCTGACATTGTACCACAAGGTTCCATATCACACAGGGAATGCTGGGATTGATTTTGGGGGTAATTGCCTCAAAATATTAGGAATTAGGGGCCAAAAAAGGGGAAAAAAACAAGCATTTTCTAGTTTCATGACAATAACTTGTGTGTAAGTGTATGGATCTTTCTGAAATTGTACTACAAGGTTCCATATCACAAAGGGAAAGCTGGAATTGAGTTTGGGGGTAATTGCCCAAAACGTTTAGCAAAAAGGGGCCAAAAATAAGCATTTTTCTAGTTTCCAGACAATAACTTGTGTTCAAGTGTATGGATCTCTCTAAAATTGTACCACAAGGTTCCATATCACACAGGGAATGCTGGGATTGATTTTGGGGGTAATTGCCTCAAAATATTAGGAATTAGGGGCCAAAAAAGGGGCAAAAAACAAGCATTTTTCTAGTTTCATGATAATAACTTGTGTGTAAGTGTATGGATCTTTCTGAAATTGTACTACAAGGTTCCATATCACAAAGGGAAAGCTGGAATTGAGTTTGGGGGTAATTGCCCAAAACGTTCAGGAAAAAGGGGCCAAAAATAAGCATTTTTCTAGTTTCCAGACAATAACTTGTGTTCAAGTGTATGGATCTCTCTGAAATTGTACTGCAAGGTACCATACCACAAAGGGAAGGCTGGGATTGAGTTTGGGGGTGATGAATCATAAGGGGGTTCAAAAAATTGGGGGGGGGGGGATTTTTTTTTTTTTCCTTTTTTTTTTCTTTTAAAATTTTCCATTTTAAGTTGGTTATTTCTGTTTTATATTTAAAAGCAAATAATAATGATATGGTAGGAGATACACACCAAACAGGGTGTGTAAATTATTATATAATAAGTATTGTGCAATAGCAAGAAATTTTCAATTGCACAGTATTGCACAATAGCAAGAAATCTTCAATTGCATAGTATTGCGCAATAGCAAGAAATCTTCAATTGCACAGTATTGTGCAATAGCAAGAAATATCCAATAGCCAATATTGCGCAATAGCAAGAAATTGTCAATTGTACAGTATTGCGCAATAGCAAGAAATATTCAATTGCACAGTATTGTGCAAAAGAAGATACTTCGTATAAATTGCTTATTTCTTGACCAATTTCAATGGGGTTTTATTCTTGAATTCTTGGGGTGCTGATTCTAACCATTTATTAAGTTTTTGGATTTTGGGCCCCATTTTTAAATTGGTCCACATTGAGGTCCAAAGGGTTGATTTCATCAAAAATTGAATTATTGGGGTTCTTTGATATGCCGAATCTAACTGTGTATTTAGGTTCCTAATTTTTGGTTCCGTTTTCAAATTGGTCTACATTAAGGTCCAAAGGGTCCAAAATTAAACTTAGTTTGATTTTAACAAAAATTGAATTCTTAGGTTTCTTTGATATGCTGAATCTAACCATGTATTTAGATTTTTGATTTTTGGGCCCCATTATCAACTTTGTCCACATTGAGGTCAAAAGGGTCCAAAATTAAACTTTGTATGATTTCATCAAAAATTGAATTCTTGGGGTTCTTTGATATGCTGAATCTAACCATGTATTTAGATTTTGGATATTGGACCATAATAGGTGAATGTCCAATTAAAAATTTTTAAGTTCTTAGACCACATTCATTCTGTGTCAGAAACCTATGCTGTGTCAAATATTTAATCACAATCCAAATTCAGAGCTGTATCAAGCTTGAATGTTGTGTCCATACTTGCCCCAACTGTTCAGGGTTCGATCTCTGCGGTCGTATCAAGCTGCGCCCTGCGGAGCATTTTATTTTAAGTTAAATTTATTCAGTTTGGTCCACTTCATCTTTATTGAAAGTATGAAAAAAAGTTTAATTGTGGATCTGTGATTTTTTTTCCTGAAAATAGCCTAAAAATTGATGAAAAATGGGAAAATCATCAAAATTGGGTACTTTCAAAAGGCCGTAGCAAAAAAAGAAGTGCACCACCATATGATTTTTTCTTCACCAATTATTTTTTTACAGTCATAGAAACCCAAAAATCAGGTTAAGAAAAAAAGTTTAATTCTAGAAATTTTTGGCTCCTCAGAGGTGTACATCCTTAATAGAAAAAAATTAAGGATGTTCCAGAATTTATAATTTTGATTTTTTCAGTGCAAACATTAATTATTGCAATCCTTTTAAATGATATGCCACATTTAGACAAAAGGGAATGCTTTGGATTGAATTTTACATTAATGTCATATAGCAAGTAAAATTTATTGAAAAGTTCAATAATTATATTAAGTAGATCATTATTTTTCTCTATTTAGGTTTTATCAGTGAGTGTAGAAGAGGACAACATTGTACAGTACATCACTAACACCTTAAACAACCCAGACTTGGCACTCAAAGTAGCAACCAGGGCCAACCTGCAAGGTGGAGAAGATCTATTTGTCAGGAAGTTTAATGCTTTGTTCCAAAGTGGAAATTATGCTGAAGCAGCAAAGGCAGCTGCTAGTGCTCCCAAGGTAAGGACATATTTGGTTTTTAATTCAACACTTGAATAATTTACTTTTTTTTTAATTAAACACTTGAATAAGTTAAAATGTGTATTCTTAATAGTATAGGGTTGATCCATAAACCCTTCATGTATTACTGTGGATTCATTTAATATTTGATGGATAGGAATTTTTGTGAATTGAGGAAAAATGATATTTTTGTGGATAGTTGATTTCGTATTTTGCCAGTCAGTATGCAAGCATATAGAAAATAATTAATTTATTGAACATTTGATTTATATGTGGTTCACCTTAATCCAGAAAACCAACTAAAATTGGTAACCAAAGAATAATAATAAGTTCACAGGAATCAATTTCTTGCAAGTGGTCATTTCTATTTAATATTATCGAGGAATTTGAAAAATATCAGGTTTGGAAACCAGGTTAGGTGGATTTCCTGTAAATATAAGGTATAGTTACATGAATCTACCTGTTCCACATGGGCAATATTGATTTCAAAAGCTAACAATAGCTTGAATAGCTCAAAATAAGATTCAAATAACATTGACCAGTTGTTTAAAAATCAGAAGAACATGTGCAATAACTGTTGTAATCATACATGGTATACTGAGAATAAACTTTCAAAGTAGGCTGTGTTCCCTTTGAATTGTTTGAATATTTCTCATTATTTGTATTCTAAGGTAGTTATAAACTCTTAGATGGGTGATTGAAGTTTTTAAGTCAACACTAATATAGATTCTATATGGAGACGACAAATTTTCTCCAAATTTAAATGGTTTGACTATTGTAGGGTATATTAAGAACACCACAGACAATACAGAGATTCCAGCAGGTACCTGCTCAGCCAGGTCAAACCTCACCATTGTTGCAGTATTTCGGTATTCTGTTAGACAAGGGCCAGTTAAACAAGTATGAGTCCCTAGAATTATGTAGACCTGTGCTGCAACAAGGCAGAAAACAGCTGTTAGAGAAATGGCTCAAAGAGGACAAGGTTGGTACATAAAGTTACTCTCACAACACTGGAAATTTAATTTAAGTAGCAAATACAATTTTTGAAATCTTTAGTTTGACCCTGCAGATCCTCACTTTCTGATTTCTTTTATTTTCTTTGAATTCAATACATTTGTTTTTATATTTTCCAAATATAACCCCCAAAAATAATTGCAGGACTTATATTTATGTTGTATATTAACATATTAACATGTAAAAGTTCTGCAAATAGCAAAAGAAAGAAGTAGAAGTCATGTTGTGTATCAGTACAATACTGACCATGGACAACTTTCTTACATAAATTATAAATTTAGATGAAATGTTCAACATTGTAATTAGGATGGCTGTTTAATGTACAGTGGCATATTAAAGACAAGAACATGTTAATGCTATACCTACACACTCAGTCAGTTGGAAATCATATCACCCTACCTAGACACACTAATCTGATTGCTAGCAGACCAGTCTTTGCTCTTAGTCCTTAGCAGAGAAGCAGCAAATACCAATTTTAAAGTCTCTAGGCCGGCCATGTATCAAACCCATGACATCCCACACTGGAGGTGAGCATATGATTAAAGTGAAAGTAGCATGCTAGATTATGCAAATAGTAAGAAAGTTAGGCTTTGATTGATAATTCTTGTAATAACATTTGATACAATTGCATACTTCGTAGGTTAAAATTATTTTACCAGTAGAAAAATAACAAGCAGTTCATTGTTTTTATTTCAGCTTGAGTGTAGTGAAGAACTTGGGGATCTGGTAAAACCTACAGACCCAACTCTAGCTTTATCTGTTTACCTAAGAGCTAATGTTCCAATGAAAGTCATTCAGTGTTTTGCTGAGACAGGACAATTCCAGAAGATTGTATTATATGCCAAAAAAGTCAACTTCACGCCAGATTTTATCTCATTGTTAAGAAACATAATGAGAATTAACCCAGAACAGGGTTTAGCTTTTGCACAGATGTTAGTTGAAGATGACGAACCATTAGCTGATCTAAATCAGGTACTATTAACAAGCTATAATACAGTTTTTGAAACTTGTCTATTTTATTTAAGGAATGACTGTAATATTTTTTCTGTCTATTCAAAATAACATCAAAAATGTGGTGCACACTGAATAACCTGCGTAGCAGGTTATTTTAAAGTGTGCACCACATTTTTTATGTTATTTCGAATAGACAGAGAAAATATTACAGTCATTTCTTATAATTTAATTCTAAATTTCATTTTAAACCGTAGTAAACCATGAAAAAACGTTGATGACGTCACGGTCACATGACAAATTTTGTCTATGAGCTGATAAACAAAACGTCAGCCAATCAGAAGACGTGTTACATCCAAAATTAAATTATTTAGATATGTTGGAGAATAAATTAAGCCATGTATTTATCCAAATATTTGGTATATGTTTAAGGTATCACTTCTATTATATCTTGTATGCTATCACTGATAGGAAGGGGTTTAAATAAATATATTTATTGTAATAGAGTTTGTTGAATGAGTTTGAGAGTCATATTTCTTGCAGATAAAACCCCATTTAGCATTACCTGAATAGTGTGCATTAGTTAAAATTTCACAATAATATTTATTGCAGATTGTGGATGTGTTTATGGAGTTTAACTTGATACAACAGTGTACATCATTCTTACTTGATGCATTAAAGAACAACAGACCATCAGAAGGTCCTCTACAGACTAGACTTCTAGAAATGAATTTAATGTCAGCACCCCAGGTAATGTTGTCAGTTTAGACAATTTGATGTTTATAAAATGAACTAGATGATACAAGCTTAATTTATGGTTTGTATGAGTTGTATGAAACTTTCATTGAAGTTTACCTCAGATATTTATGTTTGTTAAAGAATTAGTTTTATTATACCCCCATTTTAAAAAAAGTGGGGGTATACTGTTTTACCTCTGTCTGTCCGTCCCATGAATATTTTTCGTCGCATCTTTCTCAGGAACTACATAAGGATTTCTGAAATTTGGTTTCAAGGTTTATATAAATCAGCTATACCGTGTGATGTGTTTTCAGATTCATCACTCAACAACCTCCTGGGCGGCTGGGGGTATCATCAGTGAGCAGTAGCTCGCAGTTTCACTTGTTTAAGAAAAAAAATGTACAGATAATTTTCTGTGAATCAGAATTAATGTAGGATATATTGCATTAAAGTAAATATTATAGATGTTACCAGAAAGGTAACATTTAAAAATCTAAAGAATAGTATCCTAAAAATAAAAGTAACTACATATATGTTTTCTAATTGTCATTTTCTGTTGGTTAAATACAGTATTATCATATAAATTGATTATGAAATATTGTTCTGGAGTATTTGATCTGTCTTTTCTGTTACAGGTAGCAGATGCCATCTTAGGGAACCAGATGTTTACACACTATGATAAAGCACACATTGCACAGCTCTGTGAAAAAGCTGGACTTCTTCAGAGAGTAAGTTGTTCATCATACTTTCTTTGTTTTTTTCCATAAAAAATGGATATTGTGGTTTCATTTAATTTCATAGCAACCATTGTCGGTGATTTCACTTAACTTTTTTTATGCCTTGGTGGAGGGGGCATTAATTTTACTTGTCTGTCAGTACGTCCCAAAATTAGTTTCCGCTCCCCAACTTTAGTTTGCCTCAACCAAATGTTATAAAACTTATACACAATGCTTATTACCACCATACACAGATCAAGGTTGAATTTGGGTAGTATCATTTTTGCCGTTCTTGAGTTATAAATGGAAAAATATCTAAATTTGTCATTTCTGCACTAACTTTAAGTGGTGATTTCACTTAACTTTTTTTATGCCCCTGCCTTGGTGGAGGGGGCATTAAGTTTTACTTGTCTGTCAGTACGTCCCAAAATTAGTTTCCGCTCCCCAACTTTAGTTTGCCTCAACCAATGTTATAAAACTAATACACAATGCTGTTTACCACCAAACACAGATCAAGTTCGTATTTGGTGGCGTTACTTGTAAATGGAAAAAATGCAGTATATTTTCAAGCAGTTCAACACATTCTTCATTTATTTTAGTTTGCATTATTTCAAAGGTTTTTTTTCCAAATTAAAAACAGTTTTGGGTTGAGTTCTTCATTTTGTTGTTTGCCTGCAGCCATATTGCAAACTGATATATGATAATTTGTTTCATTCTGTGATTTTATGTGCCATTTTAAGTGATTTATTCTGTGAATATTTACTACCAAAGATAACTTCTTCAGTGCTCCAGCTAGAAATTGAAAGGGGCAGGGTGCCAGTGGATGGTAAGGCACTTTATTATGATAGGAAAAGTCACTGCTCATTTTTTTTTGTCTATGTTTTTTTACTGTATATGTTGACAATAAAGATAATAAGTTGTTGCTTCTATTATTTATTCTATAAAATTAGCTTTAGAAAAGCCATTCATACTACATTTTCATAATACATGGCAATACACGTTCATACATCACATCACTATTAACCAAAAGAGTCGAAATAAACTATAACAATCCCCCCTTTTCCAAATAAAACCAGCATAAACTAAACATCTCATATTTTAGAGTTGTCTCATTTAATATTTTCAGCTAGAGTTTGGCCCTCTCAACTTCATTTCATTGTTCCTGTTAAGGAATTATTAAGTATAACATCATTAAGATAAATTGTCATGATAGCGTAACTATACCCTAACACAATATTGTAGGATTTTTTTTTTTTTATCTTTATTTTTTTTTTTTATCTTTATTAACAGCTTAACGACTTTCACTAGAAACAAAGTTAGTCTTAATTGACAATGTCTAGATAGAACATGGATTGATTGATAAAAGTATGATTATCAAGAATAATTTGCAATATATTTTTTTTGGTATGTTCAAAGACAGTTTTGATCCTTAAGGTAACATTCTTATATAATTTTGAATTCAATTGGTACTTTATTCCTATTTTCAATGATAGATAATATTTTAGGAGCACAAATTTGTAATAAGCTAAAACAGGGGAAGTAACTCCAAAATTAATTTCCAACACGTTTACGATGAAGTTGATATGGATGGCGTTTCTGTGAAGGCATAGTTGTATTTTGATGACTTAAATTATATTCTAAAGTCATGAAAGTCTTCATTTTTACACTCGTCCATCTGACTTTGAGATCAAAAATGCCGACCCAAGCTAATAACACTCGCTGACACATTCATCAAATGTATATTCAATTTGACAACAAGGTACATTTTCTTAATTAAATTACCTAGTTATTAACACCTTTGAAGTCTTATCCACTGTTATTGATTTTAATGACATGATTAACCTGGCGGCAATCATCAGGTGTCATATATGTAATTTAACTTTGTGATAAGAAATCGATGAGACAAAAGGCAATTTTACCACTACATTGCCAAAACGGCACAAGGATTTTTTGGGGAAAAGGCGTCAGGGCAGAAGGGCGCGGATGAGGGCATCCAGGGCGCCGCGCCCTTCTATTTTGGGCTAACGAGACCACTGTTCTTAATAAGTTCAGAATTAATGAAAAATTGCTGCTAGTTTATTAAATTATAGCTTAGTTCATATAACTGTACAGTTTTCTATAAATTAAAAAATCAAGTTTATTTATGTATACATAGTTCACTGGATATTTTAGGCTTTAGAACACTACACAGATTTGTATGACATCAAGAGAGCAGTTGTCCACACACATTTGTTGAACCCAGAGGTAAGATTTACAAAAATAATGGAACACTACATTAAACTGCACCAACCAAAAAGTTAAAAAAAAAAAAAAAATCAAAAAATCAACATACCCTGACATTTTACTGGCAGTGAATGTGGAGGGGTGATATAAGAAAGCAGTACTCAAACCTCCTCTTGCCTATCTTAATTATAGGCATGTTGTAATAGTGATTTAAAAACTTCGCTTGACAGACTTGACAGATATTACAGTATTACTGTGCTGATAAATGCACCTGTTGTTAGAATCAGCTTTAAATCTAACTTCTAGTTATATCAACAACAAAATTAATTATAACAGAAATGAACACAAAGTCTTCAAAGTAACATTTTGGGAGCTGTGATATGTTTAATTTGGATACACATAGTAATCCTGCATTAAGCATTCAGAGTTCAAAAATGTTGAGTGTAGCAATGGTTACTGCATCTAAGAGTTTAAAACACATGTACCGTTAAAGGCTTGTTTAGTCCGCGTTTTTTTTCTCCAAAATTGAACCTGTCAGACAGGGACTATAGAGTACAAATAAGCAAGAAATAAGAAAAAAAAATCGATTTCGCGAGGTGGTTTATGTTCCGCCATTTTTGTTATTGATATTGTAGAGGGCGCTCTTATCATTTTCAAAACTAATAATTTTACCTAATTAATAGTAATGAGTTATTTTTATTCAATATCAAATTAATACTGATAAATTTAAAAATTAAATGCTTCATTACAAATTTCTCGTTCCTTTTCACTGCATTGCTTAAAACAAACTGGAGTCTGCTTGAATGAAACAGAACGAAAAAAGTTTTAAAAGTCAACCGTAAACCAGCTTACGATGTATAAACTACAAAAATTAATCGGTTATTATTCGTTCCGTTTTGGTGTTTCATACTGACAAATATGTTTTGTATTAGCTTAAGACCCTTCAAACATTAATGTAATAGATATATTAAAAAATTTTTACACAAGGATTGAACTGTTTTACTTTCAAAGTCGTATTATAGTGATATCTATTAAGGGCTATTCCATTAAAATGTATGTGGGAGGGTAGGAAGGGAAGTTAAATTATTGAATGTGGGTCATGGGTCTTTTTTCAGTATGCGTCTATCACCATTATGCAAAATTATCTAAAAAATGGTTCTTGGTTGTAGGGATATTTTGAAAGTCCCTTCCTACCCTCCCACATACATTTTAATGGAATAGCCCTAAGTACGGATTTCGACTCTCACCGTTTTAATTTTCTTTTTAAACAAGCTATGCAAACTATCAGTTTAAACATACACAAGTTTCTAAGTTGTTTTTTTGTGTGATTTTGACTTATTTTAATAATTATGAAGTGTTCTAGAATCATTTACAAGCAGTTACAACTTCTGTTTGATGAAAATACTGCAAACTACAACACACGATTTGAAATAACCGGAGTTTCATTAGACATTTTCTAACAGTTACAAAAAGTTTTTTGACCTGAAATTTCATGGGGAGAAGGGGGTGCGGACAATGTACAAGTGCAAACTATACAAGCCCGATTACAGTAAGAAAATTTAGCCAGTTATAAATAAAAGGAGATGTTGGATATGTCATCATTCAAAAAGCAAAAAAACATTTAGAAACCAAAAAACATATATCTTGTTTGTAATATCATAATTCGGTTGCTTTCAGTGGCTGGTTAACTACTTCGGATCACTGTCAGTAGAAGATTCATTAGAATGTCTTAAAGCCATGTTGCAGGCCAACATCAGACAAAATCTACAAGTCTGTGTGCAGATAGCATCCAAATACCATGAACAATTAACTACAAATGGACTCATTGAAATATTTGAATCATTTAAGAGTTATGAAGGTAAGGAATTATTTCCATTTTTTCAGAACAATGCAGCCAAGTTTTATTTGGAAACCTTTGGTGATTTTATTTTTCTCTGTTCAGAATTTCTTATGATTTAAATTTTTGTCAAAAAAACATCTGTTGTGTATATATACTTTCTGTGCAATGTTTTAACACCTGAAAAAGAGAAATTTTTCCAGAAAAATGGGCCGTTTACCATTTTTTTCTCGCCTGCGACGAAAGTTAGCGGAAAGTGAGACATAGGGATTGCTTTTCTGGCAACTCCAGCTTAGGCATCAACAATTGTTAAGTTTTCTCAAGTAAGTTTGATAGGAACTTGTGATAGGTCATTTATATTTACTATGAAATTGCATGAATATCAGTACAAATCAGTTTGACTATTTTGAGGCCCTGTCCCCTAGGACATGGTCAAGTGACTTTGAATTAATGAGCAATTTTCGTGTTAAGTTTTCTGCTTAAGTTAGTTTGATAGGATCTCCTTGTGATAGATCAATACTATTTAGTATGAAGTTGCATTACTATCAGTTCATATCAGTTTGAAGACTATTTCGAGGCCCTGCCTCCTTTTTCATGGTCCAGTGAGTTTGAATTAATTAGCTATTTTCAATGTTAAGTTGTTCTGCTTAAGTTATATTAATAGGAACTATTTACAATAAACAACGATATTTTCTATACCAAACTCACCTGTGTATATTTTTTGTACCTGAAAAATTGAAATTGATTTTAACAATCTATTGATATCTACAGGTTTGTTTTACTTCCTGGGATCCATTGTCAACTTCAGCCAGGATGCTGATGTACATTTTAAATACATCCAGGCCGCATGTAAAACTGGTCAGATCAAAGAAGTAGAGAGAATTTGTAGAGAAAGTCAATGTTATGAACCAGAAAGGGTCAAGAATTTCCTGAAGGTAAAGTATTTTAGTTTAAATTTTTTTGAAATGTATAGGTTTTTCCCCCAAGTCAAAAACTATATATCCCTTTGTTGGTTGTGTTTTTTAGTTTACAGGAACATTTATGAAATCCTTGTTATGGAATTGTTTTTGAAGAAATTTTAAGACTGGTTAAATAAGAGACCAGAAAGGGTTATGTAAATGTGAATAAATGGAGACCCACTGACAAAATCAACCAAAAGACATCTAGAGGGCAACATACATACAGCCTTTAACAGTGGACAGATGTCTATACATTATGCTACAGCCTTTAACAGTGGACAGATGTCTATACATTATGCTACAGCCTTTAACAGTGGACAGATGTCTATACATTATGCTACAGCCTTTAACAGTGGACAGATGTCTATACATTATGCTACAGCCTTTAACAGTGGACAGATGGCTATACATTATGCTACAGCCTTTAACAGTGGACAGATGGCTATACATTATGCTACAGCCTTTAACAGTGGACAGATGTCTATACATTATGCTACAGCCTTTAGCAGTGGACAGATGTCTATACATTATGCTACAGCCTTTAACAGTGGACAGATGGCTATACATTATGCTACAGCCTTTAACAGTGGACAGATGGCTATACATTATGCTACAGCCTTTAACAGTGGACAGATGTCTATACATTATGCTACAGCCTTTAACAGTGGACAGATGGCTATACATTATACTACAGCCTTTAACAGTGGACAGATGGCTATACATTATGCTACAGCCTTTAACAGTGGACAGATGGCTATACATTATGCTACAGCCTTTAACAGTGGACAGATGTCTATACATTATGCTACAGCCTTTAACAGTGGACAGATGGCTATACATTATGCTACAGCCTTTAACAGTGGACAGATGTCTATACATTATGCTGCAGTCTTTAACAGTGGACAGATGGCTATACATTATGCTACAGCCTTTAACAGTGGACAGATGTCTATACATTATGCACAGCTGTAAATGTTCCAGTGTTTTGACAAGTTGTTAATATATTTAACAGAAACAATCACTAAAACTTCATTCATATGTTATGAAATTCACTGTCAAAATAAAAATTGCCTGACTACAGAAGTACTGTACTTTGATCATGTCTGTACATTATAAAGTCAGATGCAGATATTGACAGAAAGAAGTAGAAGTCATGTTGTTATAAATACAACATTGACCATGGACAACTTTCTGACAAAAAAATAGTTTGTTCATTGTTCTGATATGTTAAAATGATTGAATACTTATTTTGCTTATTTATAATTTCAGGAGGCCAAGTTAACTGACCAGCTGCCATTGATCATTGTGTGTGATAGGTTTGACTTTGTCCACGACTTGGTGTTGTATTTATACAGAAACAGTCTACAAAAATATATTGAAATATATGTACAGAAGGTAATGAAAACTTTGGTTAATTATAAATAACATACATCATTTTATTATTGCATACACTTTTCAGTTATACTATTTGTAGAAAGAAGAACATTGAATTTTTACTCTGGTGTAATATTCCAATTAAATGAGGTTCTATTGTGATATAAGGAAGAAACAAATTTGGAAAGAAGACCATTTGACTGCTCAAAGTTTTGGGGATTATAGAAAATTTGGACCCTATGAAATAACAAACTCTTGCACCTGATATTGTACATTTGAATGCTGTATTATTTTGAACTGAAAACAAAACAAACTTGTGTAGATCTTTTCAGTAAATATACAAACAATAAAAAATGGATATAAAATTTCAAACCTTTTGAGTAGTATGAAATGCTTATAGTTTTGAAAATTTTCAGATTTTCAGATTTTTCCTGCTTTGCAACAATAGTTAAGATTTATTTGATATTACTAGTACTTGTCTCTCATTAATACCATGTTCCTTCATAGGTGAACCCAGCTAGGTTACCAGTAGTTATTGGAGGTCTGTTGGATGTTGACTGTGGAGAAGATGTCATCAAACAGTTAATTATGGTCGTCAAAGGACAGTTCTCTACTGATGAACTGGTTGAAGAAGTGGAAAAGAGAAATAGGTACAAACTAGAAAAAAGTATATGAAATTATAACTAAAAACTCATTTTACAGTTGAACTTGTTAATGAAATTGTTACAGCACCAGAAGTCAAGTCGTATTTGTACAAGAGAAAGGAGTAAAATTTTAATTGGAATATTATTCAAATTTTGAACAAACATAAAGCTGATTGGAATCAGCCAAGTGTTGATATCAGTGGAAAGGAAAACATTAACAAGATGAAACTGGTGACCTCCTTGATAAAAACCAGAAAAATGCTTTCACTAATTATTTACTTTTGTCACTAAATATTTATTTGTTTTTATTGCCAACAGAAACCCTGTAGAAACATGTACATATTTCAGTAACAAATGTTAAATACATTTAAATTACGGACGTCAAATATTGGATATAGTTGAAAAAAATAGAAATTCATGTATTATATTAATGTGAATTTATTTAGTTTCCCTTCTGATTGTTAGTATGTTATATTTGATGATTGCATTACATTTTCTAGAATGAAGTTACTTCTGCCTTGGCTTGAGATGAGAGTACATGAAGGAGTCAATGAAACAGCAACCCACAATGCTTTAGCCAAGATATATATAGACAGTAATAATAACCCAGAAAGATTCCTAAGGTAAGACAAATTATTATATTGTTGTAGAATTTTAAAGGTATATGATAGTTCAATTAACAATAATGAAAGAAGTGAAGACAAAATTAAATTTATCAGCTGTTGTGTTGAGAAGAATATATATTTTATGTAGCTTTATATTTTACTCCCTTATTTCAAATCAGTTCTACTAACTGTAATATGATTTAGTAGAAATGTGTGAAGAAAAGGCAGTTTTATAGAATATTTTAGAGCTCAGAAATAAGTAATTGCTTTTACTTGTAGTGGTCAAAGTTTGTACACTTCATGGTTGTCTCCCTTTATTTTAAAACAAAGTCAATTAATATTTTAGCAAAAAGTATTCACCATGAATCAAAAGGCTGCAAATATTGACTTTAACAAGTCAATATTAAAGTTAACCAAAATTCATAAAATATAGACCCATGAACCGATTTAAAAAACATTATATAAGCCAATGCTTTGGTTTATAAAGAAAATATGATTTAGAGTAGCAGCTGCTTGGGTGTCAACAATGTATTATTTTGTGATGATGTCAGTTAAAGGGGAACCGCCAGTGGTATGATAATGATATTTGGTATGCAATTGAATATGCATTGGTCCATCTCATTTTTGTCGAGCCTTCGACTTTTGTCGAAAAAGCGAGACATAGCGATCCTACATTCCGTCAGCAGCGTCCACAAATATTCACTCTGTGGTTAAAGTTTTTGAAATTTTAATAACTTTCTTAAACTATCCTGGATTTCTACTAAACTTGGACAGAAGCTTGTTTATGATCATAAGATAGTATCAAAAAGTAAATTTTGTAAAAATAAAATTCCTGTTTTTCCGTATTTTACTTGTAAATGGACTTAGTTTGTCTGCCGGGAAACATTACATTCACTCTGTGGTTAAAGTTTTTAAAATTTTAATAACTTTAAAAACTATCCTGGATTTGTACCAAACTTGGACAGAAGCTTGTTTATGATCATAAGATTGTATCCAGAAGTAAATTTGTTCAAAAATTTTTTTCATTTTTTCCGTATTTTACTAATAAATGGACTTAATTTTTCTGCCAGGAAACAATACATTCACTTGTGGTTAAAGTTTTTAAAATTTTAATAACTTTCTTAAACTATCCTGTATTTGTACCAAACTTGGACAGAAGCTTGTTTATGATCAAAAGCTAGTATCTAGAAGAAAATTTTGTTAAAATTTTGTACCTGTTTATCCGTATTTTACTTATAAGTGGACTTCCAGTTAACATTAAATACAGTCTGCAGTTAAAGTTTTTAAAACATTTATTAGATTCATGAACTATCCTGGATTTATACCAAACTTTGACAGAAGATTCTTACAATCAAAAGATAGTACTTATCTAAAGGAATATTTTATTGATTTTTTTCCTCATTTTGTTGAGCCTTCGATTAACAGCAAAAGTAGGCGAGACACTGGGTTCCGCGGAACCCTTAAGAATTTTTATCATAATACATGTAAATTCTGAAAGTTAAAATCAAAAAAAAAGACTTGTTTATGTCTTAGCTCTGACTGGAATAGTTTATAGAAATACTTTTATTTGCTCTTATTAAGTAATCTATATAAAATACTTGTATTTCAGGGAAAATCAGTTTTATGACAGTAAAATCGTAGGTAAATACTGTGAAAAGAGGGATCCACATTTAGCCTGTGTAGCTTATGAGAGAGGACAGTGTGATATGGAACTTATACAGGTAGGTAAAATGTACACATTCACATGTATATCATTAGATGGAAAGTTTTACTGTAAACAGTGTGAGATTTTGCAAGGGATTTATTTTTCTCTTGATATTGTCATTTAGATAAAATCTTAAAATTATCCCCCTATTTATATTTGTCTATAAAGACTGTTAGAATCATGTACAAAAAAAAACATGAAAATAAAACATTGCAAACATGTTTTGGACTAGAAATATTGATTTTTAATCTCAGTGAAAATAAATGAATTTACAGTATATTGTTATTTCTATATGTAAACATTATAGCTCATATCTGTTATAAAGGCATTGCTAATGTCTTGCTGTAGAAAAAAATTGTCTATTTTATTTTATTGCTAAAAATGTGTATTGGTAAGTAATACATCAGAAACAATTTAAATTCTCATCACATTATTTGTATGCTGCATCATGAAACCCACTTATTGATTTGTATTTTTAACAGGATTTTCGAAGGAAAAAAATCGGTTATTGATTTGGGGATGTACGGCGGGCGGCTGCCAAACAGTGTCCGTTCATTAAGATGCAAACGCTTTGACGATTTTTTTTCAAATTTTGATATGTTGTTTCCTGTGACTAAATGAAGGTCAAGTTCAATTTTTAGCTTCTCTCATTTTTGAGTTTTGTATTATTTAGAAGTTCAAATATATACTTATTACATGATTGAGTTATTTCCCTTTGAACAGAAATTGTGATTTGTAAATATCATTTTCATTAGATAATAATCTATTTTTATTAAAGGATATATTGCATTACATTACATTGTGTAGATAAAATTGTTGACATTGATAGATAAGTTGCAGATCTATATTTGTTTGTGACAAATGAAAGAAAAAATATTGGGAACTATTAATTATATATATAAAGTTTGATTACACTAAGTGTTTTTAAATAATTTTCACCTGTTAATAGATAACAAAACATCTGGCAAATATCTTATCACACAATTATAATTGGAGTGACAGATTTATTTGAAAATTTTCTGTTTCCTAAGTGTTGATGATAAGATCTGTAGGACAGTATAAATAAAGTTTGAAATTTACTGTTCATTATTAGACATTTTGAAAATAATTACCGATAAGTTTTATAGATTTTAATAGATATTGTATTAATGATAAATGACATTTTTGATTTTTTTCATCTTTTCTTTTGTAAATTGTTTGAAGAATTTTGTGGTTGGTTTGTTTGTTATTCTGTATAAACTTATTTTCTGAATGCTATATATATATATATATATTTTTTTTTGATGAAGCAAACTACTTTAAAAACTAAGCTTTGTTTGTCTATTAATAAACATATATTTATATTTTCTGATTTTGGGCCCAGTTTTCAAGTTTGGCCCAAATCGGGGTCCAAAATTATACTGTGTTTGATTTCAACATAAATTGAATATGTATAGGGTTCTTTGAAAAGCTGAATCTAAACCTGTATATTTAGATTTCTGATTTTGGGCCCAGTTTTCAAGTTTGGCCCAAATCGGGGTCCAAAATTATACTGTGTTTGATTTCAACATAAATTGAATATGTATAGGGTTCTTTGAAAAGCTGAATCTAAACCTGTATTTATTTTCATTATTAATTAGATAAAACCCTATTGAGGTCCAAAGGGTCCTAAATTAAACTTTTGTTTGTTTTCATCAACAATTCAAAAATTGAATTCTTGGGGTTCTTTGTTATGCTAATGATAACAATGTTATTAGATTTTGGATATTGGACCATAATACGTAAATTTCCGATTTCAAATTTTTCAGTTCTTTGACCACATTCATTTTGTGTCACAAACCTATACTGTGTCAAATATTCAATCACAATCCAAATTCAGAGCTGTTTTAAGCTTAAATGTTGTGTCCATACTTGCTCAACCGTTCAAGGTCCGACCGCAGCAGGAAAATCCGGTTTGCTGTCACTGACAAAATTGACAGTAATACACAGTAATATCTGAATTTTCAGTTATCTAATATTGTTGCATGAACTTTTTGGAAAGAATTTTTGTGTTGACAAATCATTACATTATCACCTGTGATTTTCTAACATTGCATTTGCAGGTGTGTAATGAAAATTCACTGTTCAAGAGCCAAGCCCGATACTTGGTCAAGAGACGAGATATGGATTTGTGGGCACAAGTTTTAGTAGAGGATAATGAGTTCAGAAGACAGTTGATAGATCAGGTAAAGTGTGATAATATAAGCTGACTCTTTATAGAAATTCAGAATTTCATAGTATTCTGATGAAAAGATGATCTGCTTTCAGTTCTGAAAACAAGCTACATTAGGTACAAAAGAGAAGAATATGTAAAGTATTGCATAAACAAAAAGATATGCCACAGACAGCTATCCAATGACAAGTGAACCAAAATTTAATCTTATGGTCAACATAACTTGAGAACAGGCCAACACTATATTTCAAGACTAAAATCTCCCCTAGTCTAGACAAAGTTATCAATGAATTCAATAAATGACTAATGACTTCCACCAGAACTAATTCTAAATGCATAAAACTTATGATGAGACATTTACAACGCTGGACAGGATACATAGTTAGGACCAGGCAAAAACATGTTAAAGGGTTAAATTTTTGTTATAGTTCACAACTTCCCATTATCTCAATCAATGGAAGAACAAAAGAACTTAACATTTCAAAATAGAAATGAAACTGGGCACAAACTTACTACAATTATATAGATCAAACATAAAAATACTTAAAAAGCAAAGGAAAAACAATACTATTTTACAATGTTTTAAATAATCATTACTTTCTGAAAGCATCTTTATTTGGGATTTGTGTTAATGTTTTAGGTTGTTCAAACAGCTTTGTCAGAAACACAAGACCCAGATGATATATCCGTGACTGTCAAAGCCTTCATGACAGCAGACTTACCAAATGAATTGATAGAATTGTTAGAGAAAATTGTCCTGGATAACTCTGTCTTCAGTGATCATAGGTATGTAATTTATTGCATATTTTTATTCAAAGTAGTTGTCCTGGATCTCTTGTTTTAAACTACCATAGGTATATACTTTTATAGCATATTTTTGTACAAAGTAGTTATCATAAGTATATACTTTTATAGCATATTTTTATTGATACTTGAAATGCTTTAAAAGGATGAATTGAATTAAGAGTAAAGATGTGACTTTCATATCTGAATATTATTTTTCTTTACCATTCTTGTTGATTTATGGACTCGTACAAATACTGAATAATTGCTGCAGTAGTGTTGCTATCATTTATACGCTTTTTGAAATGTTTTCAACCATGCAGGTCATTTAGAAATTTAAGAAGCTGATAGAGGTTATATCTGCATGTTTATTCTTGTATTACAGAAATCTACAAAACTTGTTGATCCTGACAGCCATTAAAGCTGACCGTACCCGTGTTATGGAATACATCAACAGACTAGATAATTACGATGCTCCTGATATAGCTAATATAGCTATAAATAATGAACTGTTTGAGGAAGCTTTCGCTATCTTTAAAAAGTTTGATGTCAATACATCTGCTGTGCAGGTTGGTTTTTTAAAGGTGTTATTAGCTCACCTGACACTTTATGGTCCTATTGCAATCACTTAGTATCAGTCAGTGTCACTTTTTATGCCCCACCTAGGGGCATTATGTTTTTCAGTCTGTGTGTCCGTTAGTCCGTCCCTTCGTCCGTCTGTCCCGCTTCAGGTTAAAGTTTTTGGTCACTTCAGGTTAAAGTTTTTGGTCAAGGTAGTTTTTGATGAAGTTGAAGTCCAATCAACTTGAAACTTAGTACACATGTTCCCTCTGATATGATCTTTCTAATTTTAATGCTAAATTAGAGTTTTGACCCCAATTTCATGGTCCACTGAACATAGATAGTGTGAGTGTGGCATCTGTGTACTATGGACACATTCTTGTTTTTATAGATCTTCTCTGAAACCACTGGGCCACAATCCTTAGGATGTGTAAAACATGATTTTTTGCTTGCCATGCAAAAACTTGGCTACAAATAGAACATCGGGGTAAAATTCAAGTATTCATCTTGTATCTTGTAAATTGTCACAGATTGAAAAAATTTGGCAGATCAACCTACCATCTACTCAGATTATCAGTAATACAAAATCTACAAATGAGTCGATATGAAAAAAAAGTTAATTCACAAAAATACTCAACTCCGAGGAAAATTCAAAAAGGAAAGTCCCTAATCAAATGGCAAAATCAAAAGCTCAAAACACATCAAATGAATGGATAACAAGATTTAGCCCTTACATGACAATTTTTACTCTCTTTTTCTTAATGACAGGAATAATCAATGGACTCCCTTTTGGAGTTATTGCCCATGCCTGAAGGGCCCCTTGTGAGCTTATGCCATCACTTGGCGTCTGTCATCGTCGTAAACTATTTCAAGAATTTTTTCCTCTGAAACTACTGGGCCAAATACCTTCAAACTTCAACTGAATGTACCTTAGTGTATCTAGTTTATAAATTGTATCCAAAGTTTTGATCCATCAACAAACATGGCCACCATGACTAAAAATAGAACATAGGGGTCAAATGCAGTTTTTGGCCTATATCTCAAAAACTAAAGCATTTAGATCAAATCTGACATGTGGTAAAAATGTTCAATAGGTCAAGATCTATCAGCCCTGAAATTTTCAGACGAAATGAACAACCCATTGTTGGGTTGCTGCCACTAAATTAGTAATTTTAAGGAAATTTGCAGCATTTGGTTATTATCTTGAATATTATTGAAGGTAAAATAAACTGTAAACAGCAAAAATTTTCAGCTAAGTAAGATCTATAAAAAAGTTTTTATGACCTAAATTGTCAATTGACCCCTTAAGGAGTTATTGCCCTTTAAAGACAATTTTACACAATTTGTTCATCATGTTTGCTAACATTTAAAAATCATCTCCTCTGAAACTACTGGGCCTAATACTTCTAAGCTTTAACTTAATGTTCCTTATGGTAACTGGTTTATAAATTGTATCCGAAGTTTTGATCCATTAACAAACATGGCTGCCATGGCTAAAAATAGAACATAGGGGTCAAATGCAGTTTTTGGCTTTTATCTCAAAAATTATAGCAGTTAGAGCAAAAGTGACATGGCGTTAAAGTGATGAATAAGTCAAGATCTATCTGCTATGAAATTTTCAGACCATTTGGACCACCCATTGTAGGGTTACTGTCTGAAATAGTTTATTTTTTGAAATTTTACTGTTTTTGGTTATTATCTTTAATATTATAATAGAGAGAAAGTGTAAATGGCAAAACAAGATCTACAAATAGATAAATATGACTGAAATGTTAATTAACTCCTGCAAAGAGTTATTGCCCTTAAATGAATGAATTTGCACATTTTTGAATTTTTATATGCTCCCTTTGAAAGGAGGGGGGTATATTTGTTTAGTGTGTCAGTCCTTACTTTTTGTCTGACTGTGTGTCAGTCCACCCATCCCATTATATTTTGGTTACACTTTTCTCTCGTAATAAAAGTCGAAGCTTCCTGATATTTAGTACAATAATAATAATAATATCTTTATTTAGAGAGAGTAACTCATTCGGATTATATAGATATCAAGCTTCATATAAGCATGATTGTGATGTATTTTGCAGATGCATCACTCATTCACTTACTGTATACTGAATACTTATATATTCTTACAAATAAAGGCCACAAATAATGACCATGTATAAAATTTTGTTCCCATTTTTCTCAGTAACTACATGTATATATCAGAGCTTTCTGAAAGGACAAAGTTCACTTGTGGCAAAGTATGGCTTAGAACCAACTTTAATTAAAAAAAAACCAAATGAGCCACAATTTTGATTTAAATGGATGTGTTTCAAAAAGCCTCAATGCTAGGTAAAACAAATATCTTCGTAAGAGAACTTTAATATGCTGCATGGTTAGCCCATTTCAGAGATATTGCCAAATACGATGATTTTGTGCATTTTTTAGGACCTAAAAGATACCGGAAAACATGGGTCTCAATCTAATTTCCAAACTGTTCTTTAACCATAAATTTGCAATGTTTATTTTGTTTCCCTATACACAACAATTTTCTTGATCCAATAATAATGCATAATAATAAACTTTGTAATAAATAATGTGAGGTGCCAAAATGCAGTTGTTTTTTATTAATACTAATAGTAAAACAATTTATATGTTAAATTTGTAGTATTTTGGCCTGATTGAAAAAATTTTAGCTCTTCATAAACCTACTCGTTTGGTATCAAGCTCCATGCAAGCATGCTATACTGCAATGCTTTCTTCAAATTTATCACACATTCATTTCCAGTTTACTGAATACTTATATATTTTTAAGGCTTTCTATATTTTTTTGTGAAAATAGGTGAGTGATTCAGTCTTTTATGGCCTCTATTTTTTTGTCATACTGAAAGGGAAAAGAAATACCAGCTTACAGCTACGAATCCTTCCATTTTCAAAGCTTATGAACTAAAATCAATATCAGTATGAAAAGATATTTGGGAAATGTACATGAGATAATATCTAAAATGTATACCGGTATATAAAAAAACAAATACACTTTAAAGGGTTCATTTCAGCACATGGTTATCACCATCGTCATCTAAAGAGACTTGAAATATTGGAAAGAAACACAATCACTTCCTTTATTATTCCATTAGGAGATTTTATTTAAAAACACATAAAAACAACAAACAATTACATATTTATTGTAAACACACAATTAATATCCTGTGTGGTACCTCTTTCAAACACGGTTATCTTTCTTTGTTTATGAAATGAACACATGGTTATCAACTTCGTAAGCCAACAATGAAATAAAGAACAAATGATAAAGTATATATATTTTTATTCATAACAAAATATACCACATGAAAAATTTTTCAAGTCACTGCAAGCACTTGACAATCTGACAAGTCTCCATAAAAAAAAAATCCAGATATAATTTTTTTTCACGCTTGCCCTGAAACACTGAAAAAATACATACATAAAGCGCACCTGAGTATAACACGCAGGGACAATGACAGAGAAAAAACCTGCAGCTCATTTAACGAATTTAACGGTATATAAAAAAACAAATACAGCTTTCTGCATGGTTCCAAGAATGAGCGAAATCTCATATCATTTATGAATTTTATCAGACAACTATGCATTCAAACATTATGCGGAAAAAATATATTGCATTTTATGATCCTGTATCTGAAATTCAGTTTTATTATTTTCATCATTTCTTGATAAAAACCTTGATCTTGATCCAAATGATCTTTTCCTATTTAGGTGTTGATTGACCATGTAAACAACTTGGACAGAGCCTACGAGTTTGCAGAGAGATGTAACGATCCAGCAGTATGGAGTTTACTTGGACGTGCACAGTTAGATGCTAACATGGTGAAGGAAGCTATAGATTCCTTTATCAAAGCTGATGATCCAACTAATTACATGGACGTAGTTAACGTAGCCAGTAAAAATAGTATGTTTTAGTGTCACATGCTTCATAGGGTTGACAATGTAAAGAATTGTGAGGATTACTGATCATTGAGAAACTTCAGAATATTAATCATCAAAAAAACAGAGGGATTTTATTTACAATATATAATTGAAAATATCTAAACTTGAAATAAAACCTGAAGACATGACAGATTGAAATGTACATAAGGAAATCTATTAATGTGTGTCATAAGATTTCAATTTTGGCAATAAATTTCTGAAATATTTTTGAAAAAATAGCATTTCATGTACATGTAAGTGATTGCTTTCTAATTTTTTAGCTGACAAATGTATTGAATTATTTATATCAATAATGAATTTCTTTTAACACGTGCGAAAGAATGATTCTTGATTAAGAAATCAATTTGAAACCATGTAAAAAATATACATTTAAAAACAATTGAAATCATTGTTCAAATGTAGAATTGGTGTTTTTACAATCGGAATTTTTAAAATGATTGATCTTTTTATTTGTTTACAGATAGCTGGGAAGATTTAGTCAAGTTCTTACAGATGGCTCGTAAAAAAGCAAGAGAAACATTCATAGAAACAGAATTGATATATGCCTATGCAAAGACAAACCGATTGGCAGATTTAGAAGAATTCATATCTGGTCCTAATCATGCCAATATCACACAGGTGAAGTAAAACATATCCTTTACAAATTTTGTAGAATTATTCTATTTGATGAAACTAACAATGAAAAATTAAAAATCATCAGAAATATGAACTCTCTACAGATTGAATATCACAAGCTGATGTAAAAATTAAAAGTATGTGATTTAGATAAAACTTAATCAATAGCCATAAAAAGTAATTCTGAGATAAATCTTCGAACATTATTTATTCAGGTTTTATTTTCTGTGATCCTTTTTTAGTCCTTTGCTAAGTAGTTTCCTGGGTTATCCTTCCATTAATTGCTATCTCAGTGTCACCGTTACAATATATTTAGAGTCATTCATTTTACAGCAAGAATGAAAGAATTTTACTTGGTTACTTGTTCATAGTTGTAGGGTATTTTGGTTTTGATATAATATACACAGAAATGTACTAATGTCTGATGGTATAAAGCCTTGTTGATTGATCAATGTATTTATGAATTGTAGTTTTTTTTAACGTTAAGACTTTCTGTGATGACAGGTAGCAGACAGATGTTTTGATGACAAGATGTTTGAGGCTGCTAAGCTTCTATACAATAATGTATCTAACTATGCTAGACTGGCTATAACCCTAGTCCACCTTAAAGAATATCAAGCTGCAGTTGATGGAGCTAGAAAAGCTAATAGTACAAGAACTTGGAAAGAAGTAAGTCTTTCTTTTGACTGTAGTGTATATTGCATGCTATTTTCTTTCTCTCTTGAATATACTTTAATAATCGGCAAAGTAAGAAATGTGAAAATTGAATTAACATAGAAAATTTTGTAGGCAAAATTATAATTGAGAATTCTGACATTCTTGATATAGCTGTTTAAATTTTAGAACTTGTAACTGTCAGAAACATTTGTTACTTAATCATCCTTTCATCTTCAGTATTTTTTATTTGTGCAAATATCAGTTTTCATTAAGAAATATTTCAGGATAAAGTTTGTTTGATGTCTTCTATAACATTTGGTTTTGTGTTTAGGTATGTTTTGCTTGTGTAGACAATGAAGAATTCCGTTTGGCCCAGATGTGTGGTCTTCACATTGTAGTACATGCTGACGAGTTAGAAGAATTAATCAATTATTATCAAGATAGAGGATATTTTGAAGAACTTATATCTCTATTAGAGGCTGCATTAGGTAATGTATTTTATTCTTCTTTTTTTTCAAATAAACCAAACAACTTGTTACTTGAGAAAATTTCTATCTTCACATTATTTGATGTAAATGAAAGAATCATTTATGTATGTCACAGATGAACAAAAATAATACTAGTTTTACAGAGGTGGGTTGAAAGCAGCTTTATTGCTATGAGATTAAGTTCCTTTTTACTTTTTCTAGCAATACTTAAAACCGACCCTGGCACTTAAAATAGATGTATTTATAAACATCAATAATTCTTAATATTATACTTGGACAAAACAGTACATGGTCTCATACACAGACCTGACAGGAGAATTGAAAGATTTCTGATGTAGGGTTTAAATGAAATGGATTATAAATGTCAAATTTGTAGTATAACCCAAAGATACTGTGAACAAGTGGTTTCAATGTTAAGGTATTCTCATTCAATTTTATATTTATAGGTTTAGAAAGAGCCCATATGGGTATGTTTACAGAATTAGCAATTTTATACTCAAAATTCAAGCCTGAGAAAATGAGAGAACATTTAGAATTATTCTGGTCTAGAGTCAACATTCCAAAGGTAAGTTTCAAATCTTTGAAGTTCATTCAAATAATTTAATTATAAAAAAAAATACTACACAAAATTGAATAATAGGAGATATCAGATATATTTATATGAAACACCCCCTTGCATCACGAATACCCAAATCAAGTTCAAAAATTAAATAATGCAGTCAGAATAAAAAAAGGAATCCAATAGAACTTGATTTCTAAAACCATTATGACAATTGGAATATCTTATTAGTCCTGTGGTGTAAATTATACTGTACAGAACCCTCAATATATATGTTGTTTCTAAAACCAAGACTAAAGGAAAAGGTATGCAGAAGACCACCTCTTTTGCCCCTGAATTCTAAAATCAAATCTTTTTTTACTTCTTACTATTTGCTTTAAGCCTTCAAACTTATTGCAATAAAAGAAAAAAAAACTGCCAAAATAGCCTTGTTTTGAATTCTTGTCATAGATATTTAGATATGAGCAACAGCCTTTCCAAAAATGTTTTCGCTGATACATGCCTTTTACAAAGATGGTGTGAGAATGTCTTAGTAAGACTGTCACTCGTATTTAATTTTACAAAACTGTTATGTTTAAAATTACCATTTTAGATCAAATATGTGACCTTAAACATGGTTACAAATGATTTTGCAGTGACACCATAGATGACATTTTTGAATAAAAGTGATAAAATTATATCATCCTAATAATTCATAATTTAAAAGGAGTAGGCCCGATAAGACCCCTTTTTGGCCCCAACATATAGCATTTTTATACGACCGCAAAAAAATTTTTTGGTCGTATATTGGTATGACGTTGGCGTCGTTGTCGTCGTCCGAAGACACATTAGTTTTCGCACTCTAACTTTAGTTTAAGTGAATGGATCTCAATGAAATTTTACCATAAGGTTCAATACCACAAAAGGAAGGTGGGGATTGATTTTGGGGGTTATGGTACCAATACTTAAGGAATTAGGGGCCAAAAATAAGCATTTTTGTAACTTCCAGACATAACTTGTGTGTAAGTGTATGGATCTCTCTGACATTGTACCACAAGGTTCTGTATCACAAAGGGAATGCTGGGATTGATTTTGGGGGTAATTAGCCTCCAAATTTTAGGAATTGGGGGCCAAAAAGGGGCAAAAAACAAGCATTTTTCTAGTTTCATGACAATAACTTGTGTGTAAGTCTATGGATCTCTCTGACATTGTATCACAAGGTTCCATATCACAAAGGGAATGCTGGGATTGATTTTGGGGGTAATTGCCTCAAAATTTTAGGAATTGGGGGCCAAAAAGGGGCAAAAAAAAGGCATTTTTTCTAGTTTCATGACAATAACTTGTGTGTAAGTGTATGGATCTTTATGAAATTGTACTACAAGGTTCTATATCACAAAGGGAAAGCTGGAATTGAGTTTGGGGATAATTTCCCAAAAGGTTTAGGAATAAGGGGCCAACAAGGGGCCAAAAATAAGCATTTTTCTAGTTTCCAGACAATAACTTGTGTTCAAGTGTATGGATCTCTCTGAAATTGTACTGCAAGGTACCATACCACAAAGGGAAGGCTGGGATTGATTTTTGGGGTAATTCCCTCAAAATTTTAGTAATTAGGGGCCATAAAAGGGCAAAAAAACAAGCATTTTTCTAGTTTCATGACAATAACTTGTATGTAAGTGTATGGATCTTTATGAAATTGTACTGCAAGGTTCCATATCACAAAGGGAAAGCTGGGTTTGAGTTTGGGGGTAATTGCCCTAAATGTTTAGGAATAAGGGGCCAACAAGGGGCCAAAAATAAGCATTTTTCTAGTTTCCGGACAATAACTTGTGTTCAAGTGTATGGATCTCTCTGAAATTGTACTGCAAGGTACCATACCACAAAGGGAAGGCTGGGATTGATTTTTGGGGTATTTCCCTCAAAATTTTAGTAATTAGGGGCCATAAAAGGGCAAAAAAACAAGCATTTTTCTAGTTTCCAGACAATAACTTGTGTTCAAGTGTATGGATCTCTCTGAAATTGTACTGCAAGGTACCATACCACAAAGGGAAGGCTGGGATTGAGTTTGGGGGTGATGAATCATAAGGGGGTTCAAAAAATTTGGGGGGGGGGGGGGTTTCCTTTTTTTTCTTTAAAATTTTCCATTTTAAATTGGTTATTTCTGATTTATATATAAAAGCAAATAATAATGATATGGTTTGAATAGGTAAATTAAAATTTTTTAAGTTCTTAGACCACTTTCATTCTGTGTCAGAAACCTATGCTGTGTCAAATATTTAATTACAATCCAAATTCAGTGCTGTATCAAGCTTGAATGTTTGTCCATACTTGCCCCAACTGTTCAGGGTTCGACCTCTGCGGTCGTATCAAGCTGCGCCCCAGCGGAGCATTTTATTACCAATATGTTAAAATGTAAACTTTGAGCTATTCATTGGAAAGTAGAATACTTCTGTTCCGTAAATATGAGCTGTTTTTGACAATACAATGCACATGCATCAGGTAATAGCATCATAAATTCATGCAATATTACTGAAATCATCACAATTTTAGCATTTGTGCTAATCTTAAGACGGTTTTTGTCTAAAATAGAAGTGGCCGCATTTGTGTTCACTCTTGATATTTAAATATATGTTGTATTTGATGATAATACATAACATATATAAAGGTTGAGACTGAACACGAATATGGCCACTTCCATTTTAGACAAAAACCATCTAAAAATGAAGTTTTATGGCATATTTGATAGATTTTGCATATTTAAGTGTGAATTTGAGCTTCTCTAATGACCAAATCAGTTCAAATCTTTAACATAAACTAATTGAATCGACTCAAGTAGACACTGAAGTGTTTAAAAAATGTCAAAAATCTTTCATTAGATGTACTTCAAATATTAGGCCAAAACTAGCCCTTACCGGACCTTCTCCTTTTGCGAAGATGGAAGAACTTGACATGCTGTTGAAAATTCAGGGATCAAATAATGACTATCATACTTGTCCCCTGGGTGTTCCAGAAAAAGAAGTTACAGTATGTATGCTTGATATGAATTTATTAATGACATACAATGCATGGCCATAAGTATTTGTCACAAACATTTTTTTGCTATATTTTTCATAAAAAAACTATGTTTTTTGAAAAAAAAATATTGTGGAATAATTTTTGGTTGGATTTTAATCAACTTGGTAACATCAGAATGAGAATTGTCACATTTTTGTTTGTTTATTTAGTTTAGTTAGATTGTTATACTTATGGCCATGCACTGTATACAGCAAAATATATTACTTACTTAAATGAAAACTGAAATGATGATGATTTTATCTTCTATAGGTATTACGAGCAGCCGAACAAGCCCATCTGTGGTCAGAATTAGTATTTTTGTATGATAAGTACGAGGAATATGATAATGCAGTGATAACAATGATGAGCCATCCAACCATTGCCTGGAAAGAAAGCCAGTTCAAAGATATCATAACAAAAGTAGCAAACATTGAACTTTATTACAAGGCAATTCAATTCTACTTAGACTTTAAACCTTTATTATTGAATGAATTATTACTGGTGTTGACGCCAAGACTTGATCATACACGAGCAGTCATTTTCTTCACTAAAGTCAACCAGATACCTCTTGTCAAGCCTTACCTTCGATCAGTCCAAAAGAACAACAACAAAGCTATAAATGAGGCTCTGAACAACTTATTAATTGAAGAGGAGGATTACCAGGGCCTGAGAACATCTATCGATGCATACCAGAACTTTGACAACATAGCATTAGCCCAGAGATTAGAAAAACATGAGTTAATAGAATTCAGAAGAATAGCTGCGTACTTGTACAAAGGTAACAACAGATGGAAGCAGTCAGTTGACCTTTGTAAAAAGGATAAATTATTTAAGGTGAGATATATATAAATTGGCTGGCACATACAATTTCACTGTGATGGTTCAGCTTGTCTATGTATCAGTAAGAATAAGTTCGTTGAGAGAGGCAAGGACCATTAGGTTCAAATATAATTCAGGAACTAATAAAAGAATTATACCATCAATTTTTTTTCCCAAATATTTATTGAAATAGTATTGGGTAATAGTCATCTTTAAGAGCTAGATGTCTACATCTCAAAATTGATAAAAAAAAAAATATCAATATTGCTGGATAAAAAAAACAAGTAAAAAAAGCTACTATGGAAATATAAAGTTTTTCTCACTGTCAGAAGACATTGTTTTATTTCTTCAGATAGCAAGGTTTAGGTTTACAAGATGATCATACTTTTTTATATTTTCACTAGAACCCATTTAAAATTATCACTTTGATCTTTAAAAAAGTTGTTGTTGAACACCAAACCTAAAACAGCTAACACGAATACATTTTGTGCATCGACAGGCTTTACTGGATTTACCATCTTCAGGAACAGGTAAATCAAAAAATTTGAACAGCAGAGATGCATAAATACTTGAATGCTTGCGGTGCTATGAACATTAGCATGAAACTGGACATGATTCATTTCTACCACCTAACCCAGTTGTATATATTGTGTATTCTTACGATTAATAGTCAGCAATAGTTTATTTTTACAATATTTGCTACCATTTATCTTAGTTACTAGAGAAACAGGAGTCATATTGAAAGGGAGATAACTGATTACTTTAATTACAGGATGCAATGTGTTATGCTGGAGAATCTAAAGACATTGCTATTGCTGAAGACCTGATAGCCTGGTTCTTAGAAGAGCAATATCATGAGTGTTTTGCTGCATGTTTGTTCCAATGTTATGATTTATTACGACCAGATGTGATACTTGAGTTGGCATGGAGACACAATATTATGGATTTTGCCATGCCATACATGATTCAGGTTGTGAGAGAGTATATATCAAAGGTGAGGAAGGCTAAGCTAAAACTTCTTGTACAAATTAAATTGATGAAATGAATTAGGTAACATGTGCATACATTAATGTCTTTTTATTTTAAAGTATTCTTGTTATATGTAATGGGACCATGAATATGTTTTAATGTTTTAATATTTATTGAAATATAAATAGCAAAAAGCTAAATTTCTGAAATGCAAATTAAGAAAATAGGGCATCAGAAATTTTAAATAAAAAATCTTGATATTTTTAGATTATTTTTTCAATATTTTTTGCAAGAAACAGTGCTGTGTAAATTAATTTTTATTATTCCCTTGAATTAAATTATTTTAAACGAACTGGTAATACTTATTTTACCAGTTTGCCTATCAGCTTGCCTCAACTTGATTCCTGTCGATTTGAGTTTTACTTTTTATTATGTTGTGTTTATTAGGTTGACAAGTTAGAACAATCAGAAGCTGTCAGGACAGAAGAAGAACAAAAGGCAGAAGAAAGACCAATTGTTCTTGGTAAATACAAAATTATATAAGTTGTATAAATTATTAATCCTTTCTTTTACCAAGGCAACATAAAATATTTATTTTTTATCATTTTAGTTTATTGCTACTTTCTATGCATACATATTAAACTGTGCCTTGAGTTTGTTATAGAGTTAAAATAGTAATGTATTAGGCTACCAAGCCACCTACTTTAAACATGTTTAAAGGGTTCTAGTCTGAAATTATATATAGAAGCACTAAGCCTGATATCTGGGATTTAATGAAAAAGTGTGACTTGTTATTGAGGTAGTTGTTCTCAGTCAGGATTCTACTTCATCAAAATTATCTCCCCATTACGCCAGTTCATTTTCACAATCGTAAAAATGGAAGCCATTGTAGGGATGACGCGCTGCCAATTTAGCTCTTGAAAACCGATAAATTTATCCGCATAGCACCATAACGATCCTTATATGCCAGTTGTATTTTAAAAGACAAATGTATCTACTAGCTAATGAGCATCAGTTAATGTACTTGTCTGCATTCAGTCAACTTAAAACTATTGTCTGATCGGTTGTCAGGTGGAATTTTCGAAAATTCATAAACATTTAAAAAAATTCTAATTCAATATTTCGTGGAAGGGCAGACTAAAAATTTTCAGTGGTTGAAGACTATAAACCCTAGATATCACACACAAAAAAATGAAGTTTTTTCGAAGATATGCATTTTTAAGATCCAACTTAAAAGTCTGTCGTCAAGTACTTTTCGTAAAAATTTGCTATTCGAACACACCTACTCTGTTTTTGTAATTCATTATCTAGAAAGGTATTTCACTTGACCTATATATTTCATTTTTTTACTACTGTGAATTTTCGATGTTATAAAGTCAACCTGTAGCCTTGATATATAAAAATGATAGAATCTGAATCGAGATTATGTATCAAATACTTTTGCTTTTTACGTTTTCAAGACAAAATATTCAACTCAAACACGCCCTAACATAAAAATGTGCACTCGATTTTCTCTTTTCGATGCAATTGTTACCCATTTTTTTTGGAATTTTTTCTCGAGTCACATAATGGAAGGGCAGAAACGAAAATTAAGGAACAAATAGATTGATATGTTCTCCGTCCGTGGTAAATTTTTTTGAAAAATCGGAGGTTATTCATTTTTTAGATCCAACTTAATAGACACCCATGTCGTCGACTTGATATCTAATTGTTCTGCTTAATTATGTAATAGATAAATTGAAAACTTATGCAAATTGTGTTTTTATGATAAAATATTTCGTAATTTAGCAAAAAACTGTCATTTTGTTTGTTTCTATTAACTTTTAAAATTTGTGTTACTACAGTAAACATTACAGTAAGCATTTATCGCCTTCTCTAACAAAGAGCTTCGATTCTTTTGTTCTATTTCAACTGGGTTTCTGCCTGTTCTAGAACAACTATATCTGCCACTGAATATAAATTGTCCTGTAAATTTAACCAGATATATTTTTAACTGTATATTTTTTAACTGAACAAGAATTGAGATTTATGTTTTTTGTACTCAAATTTGTTGAGTACTTAAGTAAGGCTAATAATAGTTTCTTTAAAATGGTTCAATCTGTTTAAAAAGTGCCTTCTTGTGCACCTTATATATGTTTAAATAAAACAGCCTAAAGTTTGAGTTGCATGATGTATATTTCCTCATTAATTTATGATATTTAATGGTTTGTTTTAGGTGAACAACAGCTGATGTTAACAGCAGGGCCAGCTGCAATGATGCCACCCCAGGCTCCATCACCTGTACCAGGCTATGGTGGCCAATATGGTGTACCACCTAACCCATATGGCTATGGCATGTAACAACTTTCCGCATAAAGCCAACCTTCAAATTCCTAGGAACATTATTCATTTGTCATTATATCATCCTGTGTGAATTAAAGAATGATTATAAATGGAACATTCACAGAGGGACCGTATCAGAATGGAAGATGTTCTGTTGATTGTTATTGTTTATTTGTAACTTTCAGATTTAAGTTATATTGTGATTTTATTCTGGAACTATTGGCATTTTGTGTTGTTTTTATTGTTGATAATGTGTTTTGATTTGAACAAAAGTTGAATAATTTGCAATAGTTTGAAAGTGCTTATTAATTCAGTTAATTTTTTTTGGAACCATTTCCTTCATTAAATCATACTGATTTTTACAGTTTTCTTATTTTTGAAAAGATACTCAGTTGATATATTTATTTATAGTGTGGATATTTTATCTATAAAATTTTGTTAAATTGATTTTGATTGTTTTATAAAGCTCGGTGCAAATACAAATGCAGTCATTTTGTATCAAGTTTTAATTTAGTATTAAGTGCTTGCCACGAGATGGCATTAAAACCTACAAGTCAGACAGCTTAACACCTTAAGAAATGTATGAACTAGTCTCAAATGCAGGTTTTACAAAAAAAATATTGTCTTGAGTTATATGTAATATGACTGATTTGACATATGTGGTACATTCACATTTTATTCATGTATCAAATTTGTCTAAAACATTCCAAATGTCTTGTTTGACCTTATGCTAGAGCTTATAACAGGGGAAAATATATTTCAAAACCAATTGACATTTCAAATTTATATTAGAAGTGTAATAGCCGTGTTTTAAAGTAATGAATATCCTAGAATAGAAGATAGCAATAATGTAAATTCTGGAACTGAAAAGGTTGTAGTGTCTAGGTATTGGGGAGAAATAGATGTTAATTTTCATATGTTAATTCTGTGTATCTTGGAGTAAAATTTATTATAAAGATGTAAATTTTATAATGCTTAATCAGTTAAGTCAGAAATGTTTGACTTATCGAAGATGCTTGGAAAGTTAAATATAGCGCTGTCATGGTTAAATATTATGCATGAAGTTTATATCTAAATCTTTGCTTGTCCTAATGTTTTTGGTTGACAAAGTAATGTGTGCTTAACTCTTTGTAAAAGCCATTCATATAACTAACTTTCATCAAAGTAGTGTTAGACAGAGACTTACAAAAAGGGATAGAAGTTTAAGGAGTAAAAATTGTTTCTGCTTAAAGGAAAGATATCAAAGATGCAAAAAATGGATTTGACTGTTTTCAATGACTTATCAAAAGCAGATATATTAATGTGTTTCCAAGTCATAACTGTGAGTGAATATGGTAGACAAAGAATGTGATGTGAAATTTTTAAGATGTGTAGATTTATTTATTCTGTATTAGTGAATTAGATAAGCACTTAATATAAGATTATGTACATGCATGTACATGATAGCACATTGTTGATTTATGTTGTCCATTGAACATTGTAATTCAGGAATCATATACACCCAGTTAAAATGACTGGATACTCTTTTGTGAATAGTTGTGATAGACTACTGTCCAAATTACTATACTCCTTTGTGGATATTCAGGATAGACTGTGGACAAAATTACCATCTAATTTATAGAAAAAATAGGTTGAAAAAAAAGAAAATGTTGAAACTCTTAATGGGAATACAAATACTTGATGTAGATTTTCACCATATCATAATAAAGTTTATCAAAAAGTAAATTAGAAGGAAATTTTTGAATAGCTAAGATCTTTGTTTTAAAACATTCTATAGAATTTTTTTTTTTGTAAATCAGATGATTGTTGTAGGCATATTTGTTTATACAGCTCCATTTAAGAATTCATGTTGCCCAATAATTTTCTGTATTTGCTAACAGATATAAGAAGTTAACAAATTGATAGAGTTGATCCAGTCATTTTAAAAGTACAGTCACAGCTTTGCAAATCATTCATGTGTTTTAATCCAATCAAAACTGTTCAGTGATGGTGTGTATATAATGAAGACTTTTGATTGGTTGAATGGTGGCTGTGCCTGTAACACTGTTGTTATAGACCATAGTTATATGATATACAACAAATAATTGAATAAAATAAAATGATTACTATCCATTGTTTTTCATGTATTAGCACCTTCACTAGCCAAGGGTTACGAACCAGCCCCCTCCTCTACACCCTTGGATGATTAAGTCAGAATTTTTGATGAACAAGGTAATGATTTCCATTGATCCCAATTGTAACTGGCTGCTTCCAATCAAAAGTGCCTTTAAGATGATCAAGTATGAATATAGAAAGCAATTGCCACATGCAGATTGTGTCACAAGTCTTTACCCCCAAAACGTCGGACGATAGTTACATTTGTAAAGTTTTTAATCAACTTATTGAAGTTCTTTTGTATGTTCCACATGCAAATTTTGGAATGTCAACATATATATATGGTTTCTGCTTCACAAAATTTGCAAACACTGGACACAGTCATTTTTACACCTCCAAACTATAGATAATGCAAGTGATGTCATTTGGTCAAGAATGATGTAGTTGGAGTGGGTGTGACTTCAATCTGTCACTAGATGGCACAATGCTGTATAAGTAAGTTCTTTCTTAATCTGCCAAGGGTGAAGATTGTAGCCCTTAGGTAGGGAAGATGATGTATTAGTAGATACAGTGTTCATCTTGGTGACTGGTTTACTAGGAGTCTTCCTGCTGATTGTCAAAACAAAAATCCCTATGTGTATGGGTCTAGTACAAAGCAAGGTTCATATTTATATCGCATCAACATTTTCTCATCCTGATATACATGTAATGTTTGCTATGTTAAACACCTATTTATCATAATTATCAACATATTTGGCAGTGGACATTGCAAAAAAGATAACAAAACATTGATATTGTATTAATCAACTTGTATTTTATAACAAACCAGATAATCAACATTGTTTCAATGATCAAACTAAAGCTTAGTTTGCTTTTACAAACTAACCAAAAGCAAATCCACAAGTTCAAGTTTAAGGTAATGAATGCTGGTTCAACAGTCTCCTAAGAGTACAGGTCAAAATTTTGACCTTGCATATCTGTCCTATTGAATTCACTTGAGATCTCATTAAGAGTGTTTCAGACATAATCAGAATAGCTACATTCATCAAGCACTGTAATGAGGAACTTTTAATACAGTTAGGAAATAACAAGGTGTATAATTACGAGTAAATGATAGATAGAAATACAAATATGTAAAAAAAAAAAAACTTTCTTGTGCTACGTTTAGCGATAAATGGAGTCCAAATTTTAGACATCTTTTTGGACATTTCTGACCTACCTAACTTTTTATTATGCCCCCACCGTAGCAGAGGGGACATTAAGTTTTACCCTTGTCCGTCCCAAAATTGGTTTCCGTTCCTTAACTTTAGTTTGCCTCAACCAAATGTTATGAAACTTATACACAATGCTTATTACCACAAAATACAGATCAAATTTGAATGTTGGTGGTGTCACTTTTACTGTTCTAGAGTTATGCCCCTTTACAAATGGAAAAATAGCTGAATTTTTTGTTTCCTTTCTATAACTTTAGTTTGCTTCAACCAAATGTTATGAAACTTATGCACAATGCTTATTAATACAAAACTCAGATCAGTACAAATTAAGGTAGCATCACTTTTACCGTTCTTGAGTTATGTCCCTTTATAATGTTATATGCAAGCGGGAGAATCATCTGTGTCCCCTGGACACATTCTCCATTCATTGTTTCATAAGTTAACACACGGAGATTTTTTGTGAAGTGGAATATCTTCTTTAAAAATAATTCATTTTTATTAAATTTCATGATTTTAGAGGAAAAAAACAATTTTTTGGCTGAATATTTATGTAATTCAAAGAAAACTCATCAGTGATTTGTTCATAAAATTTGGTACAAATAATCTTCCTAAATAAAAGCCAAATGTCATAAAAAAAGAATCCATATACTTGTTTTCAAACTAATGATTAAAATCCGTGAAAAAATACATCTTTTCCCTATTAGTCACATTTTGATGTGAAAATAACAAAATTTACATTAGCAACATCACAACCTCCCCTGTAATTATTGTATGCCCTTTTAAAAGTGATGATTTTTTTACTAATTTAGTGGTTTTACCCATTGTCTGTTTTCAGCAAAACTAGTCAGAAATCCAAGATATACTGAATGCCAATACAATTGAACAAAACTTGACTGCAATGACGATTTTGACTTATTATCGTGTACTTCGTACAGAGTAATTGGCTGTAAAGAACAATTATTGACTAATTTTAATGTTTTTTGCCTTTTATTTCAAAAACTATTATATATAGATAGAAACTGTAAACATCAAAAATAATTAGTCATACAAGATCTACAAAAATGACCAAAACAATTGGACGACCCATTAAGGAGTTATTGTCCCCTGCACATCACACCATGGAGTGTAAGGTAGTTGTCTCTGTCCAAAACACATCAATACTCTGAAACCATTTGACATACAGCTTTCATACTTGGTAGGTTTATTAGTTGTCATAATCTCTTCACCATTTAAGTTGACAATTTTGATTGGAGTTGTGGGTCTTTGACCATTTTTTTCAGTAATGTAACAATGACACCTTGTGAACGAAAAGCTCTCATACTTAGGATTGTTTACCATCATGTGCAGTTGACCATATTGTACCTGTTTACCATCATGTGTAGTTGACCATATTGTACCTCCATTTACATATGAAAATTTTTACAAGAGTTATGTGTAGTATTGTGACAAAAACACCTTGTGAATGTAACTCTTCTGAGACTGTTTTACAGAAAGCCATCATACTTGGTAGAATTGCTTACTTGACCATAGTTTACTGTCAATTTTATCTGATCATTTTTACAAGAGAAATGGGACTTTTGAGTATTGTGACAATAACACCTTGTGAACGCAACTTCTCCAAGACCATTTTACAGAATGCCATCATATTTTGTACTATTGTTATGCAGCGATCATGTGTAGTTGACCATATACCGTTATTTTTATCCCAACCTTTTTACGGGAGTTATGGGACTTCAACCCTTTTTTTTTAGAGTATTGTAACAATAACACATTGCGAACGCAACTCCTCTGAGATCATTTGACAAAAAGCTCTCATATTTGGTAGAATTGTCTGTGTTGTTGACCATATTGTACTGTCATTTTTATTTGACCATTGTTATGGGAGTTATGGGACTTTTGAATATTGTACCACCATTACACAGTGACACCACAACTAAATTTCTCATTTATACAGCATGGGAGGGGGAATTAGGCAACAGAGTAGCAATGTTATTGCTCTTAAATAACGGGGTTTGACTAATATTTGTGTCATTAACAGAAAAGTAGTAACTGTAAACAGAAAAAATTATCAGCAATACAAGATCTACAAATTAGTCAACTGCATGACACCTTATAGGAGTAATTACCCTTCAAAGACAATTTTACCCACTTTTGCGTATTTTGTAGAAACTATGGTAGAAAGAAATTGAAAGAAGCAAAAATATTCAGCACAATAAAATCTCCAAATCAGTCGACATGGTGGAAATTGTCAATTGATTCTCTCTAGGAGTTATTGCCCATTTTGGATGATGTTTACCCATTTTTTGCTGATACTATACCAGATAGATGGAATTTTCATGTAATGAAAATGATCAGCAAATAAGTTTTCACAGCATGAATTGTCAACTGACACCTGATAAGAGTTATTGACCTTTAAATACAGTTTTAAACCAATATTTTAGGTTTCTTTTACAAAATGATAATAAAAAAAAGAAACAGTAGGCAGCAAAAATTATCAGCGCAAAAAGATCTGCATGTTGGAGTTGTGCATCTGCAATTATGAAATTGTTTGAAGAGTTTTTTCCACATTTTTCTGGACTTGGGAACTTCGTTATCTTCCAGCAAAATTTACAAAACAGGGTACCAAATTTTGGGTAATCAAACCCTCCTACAGTTATTGCAACCCAACAGTTATTGAGTCCTTGATCATTTTTGCGATTTTATTTGTTAAAATGGCAATTAAATATCCCTCTCCACAGTTGTTGAACCAAATAAATTTATACATCAATAAGGAGACCAGGAAAAAATGCTCAGGTCATCCAGTAAAACCAATTATTGATGGTCGTCCCTTAACAAGTTGACATTTTTGTCATTTTATTTATCAAGACGATATAATAGTGTAAAAAGAGCGAACATACCAAGGGTGCAATCGGAAATCTAAAGGCAAAAAAAAACACTATGTCCCAAAATAAAAACTACGAAAAAAACGAAATATTATTTGTGCCTGAAGTTGATTAGTTAATTAACTTGACTTGAATATATATATAGGCTTTCTCAAAATATTCTTTGTTATCCCTGTTGGTCAAGATATATGTGATTTTACTAGTTATCTGACTTTTTGTGTGTGTGTGTGTGTGTGTGTGTGCATTGCTCCCCAATAATACGGACTAAAATCAAAACAATCTAAGATGAAATACTAGACCTGAGTTTTCTTGACAATGGAAAAATACTAAAGTATGTATATTAAATTTTGACAACAAAGAATGCAACCAAACAATATAAAATAAACATACGGTCTGTGTTTGAGATGGAAAAGGGAAGGCTCGTGGTATCTTATATCGCCAAATTCAAGCTGCTGGAATGTTGCTACATAGAAATGAAAGTTCACACAATTGGAAAGCTGAAATCAGCCCTTTGGTCGAAAATTTTTGTTTTCAACCCATTCTTATTGTCAATTTCTAGATGTAACTTAAGCCAAGATATGAAGCAGACTTAACTGTATCTGTGGTACCCTTCCTCTTAAGTTGGATGGATTAAATTATTCAACACGTACGGCCTTCAACAATGAGCAAAACCCATACCGTATAGTAAGCTGTAAAAGGCATCGAAATGGCAAATGTAAAACAATTCAAACGAAAAAAACTAACTGCCTGATTTATATATACAGAACAATAAACGAAAAACAAATATGATATACAGCAACAAACGACAACCACTGCATTACATGCTCCTTCATATGAATAAAAGAACAAGTCAGATTTAAAATGTATAAAGGCGCTACGGCCCTATCTATCGTATCATATTGATATCTACTTATATAA